CATGCTGGGAAACCCAATTATAATAATGGTTTCAAAGATCTTCTGGCCAATGTCTCAGGCGCTATGTCAGCAAAAATTGTAAGCTCACTTCTCCCAGCTTTACTGTTTAAATTGCCAGTAACTTCTTCCAGACATTTATCTTCATAATGATGGAAGCGAACGATAACATCTCTGGGGGCGGCGTGGTCAACTCCTGGGGACCGCTTAATCCTATGTACTCTATTTTCAATTGTTCTGTCACAAATCTACCCATTAATGGGTTAAATATTTTCCTCATTTCCTCCTGTAGATCTTCTCCCAACGTTACTTCTTGCAAGCCCCAGATCCTCAAGTTGTTCCTTCTGTCTCTATTCTCTTGATCTTCTAATTTATATGCTATCTTCCTTTGTTGTCTTCGCATTTCCTCCACATGCTTCTCTAACTTAAGTCACTTGCGCGTGTTTCTCGAGTTTCCCTTCCGTTTCTTCCACTCAAGATAGCACTTGTCCCAGGTCATTGTGTAGTATGGCAATTTTGTTTTTTATGGAATGCTATAGTTGAGAAAATCTCCGCTATCTCCATTTTTGTGGGTATTTGTGAATTTATTCTTGTTCTTCAATATCTCTGGGATCTTTTTTGCTCTCCATATTTAAAGATTCTTCAATCTGGTTCAAATTCGGTACTCCTAATGACAGTCTGCTTTGTTCTCCAATGTTATTTCTCATCTCAAGGCTTCCCCTTGTTCCCTGCTGTCTCTGGGCTTTTCTCCTGCCGGGGAAGATATTTTCTGATTATCCTTGATTGGGGAGTTTTTAATGACCCCTTTTGTAGATATACTTTTCATGATGTTAAATAGTTTTCCCTATCAAAACTCTCCTCATTTCAACTTGAATCTCTTTACAAGTATACTTCTCTGTATCAGGTATCTCAGATCATGTCTTATGATAGATTTAGCTTCTCCTTCCTTTAATCCCACCAGGTGACCCCTCTCTTTTTTTGCATCCACCTCCCTTAATTAATTTTGGTAATTTAAAAATTAGGTAAAGTTAAGGTATAGCTTAATTGCAGTAGAGCAAAGTCCAGTCACTAGGCTGGCTGTACAGTCTGGCACTATTCAGCGGATGTACAGGAATATAAATCCTTTAGCAAATAGAATAGCTCAAATATAGGTACTGCAATGGTATTAAACCTTTGTGCCTCAAGTTCCGTTTTCAATGTTTGCATTGTTGCACATTGGTATGACTGAAGAGTCATGGGGACCTCAAGTATAGTGTATTTTTAGATTTGGTTATCTGAAATGACACAGGGGTAATGTAATGATTTTGATATGAACAATTTGCCTTAAGCTTCAAATGCCATGATGAAAACACACCGAACAGGCATTATAGTTTGCTAAATGTAGTCAAACATTCCCAGGAAAAAAAACACAAATCAAACACCTTAAACAAAGTAATAGTATATAGTATTTGATAGCAGCTTTTTATTGGTTACAAAACCTAAGCCCATATACAAAATTAGGAACACATTTTGATGCCTCTTTTGAAAGAACATTTTAGTCTATTTAAACAGTTAAAAAAAAGAAAGAAAAAAATGCATTTCAAACACTGTTCTGAAAACAAAAAAAGTGCAGCAAAAGTCTTTGTTTTTGTAACTATCAGATGATGCAATCCTACCAAAACTTAATAAGGTCACAGAGGAGAGCTAATCCAAAAACACCAGATTAGGGCTTTAAAGAACAGTTACCTACACAGACTAGCAGAAGCCATTTTGTGAAGTAAACTAATAATCACAAGCCTGTAGCCTAGCAATCCACTAGGCTGTACAGTCCTAAAAAGGTGCTCTGCAAGAGAAGAGCTCTTTAACCCACATCATCTTCCTCTGCTCCATTCCAGTGCTCCAGCCTCAATCAGTCTCTTCGACATTCGACACATCCAGTAGGGTCAGAAACCTGTGGCCCCTGTCTCATACCATGGTTGCATCCTTCGGCCCAAACGTGGCAGCATTACACAGAAGTGACGTAGGGGTCGTAGAATGGAACCATGGTGCTTGGAGGAGGGCTCAGGCATCTGACAATCCCAAAAGTGTTGAATACTGAGAGGCTGAAATGCAGTGGAGGTAGAAGATATGGACAACCATAGAGGTGGCTATAGGAGATCATCTTTTTGCAGGGAACCTTCTTTTAGGACTTAGATTTGTTACCCTGTGAGGGTAGCACGATTAACTCAAAAAGAACAAAAATGGCTGCTTCTGTCTGCAGTAGGTGACTGGGCCTCTAAAGTAGTGAGGTATAGTGAGTTAGAAGCTTTAATACAAATGAAAATGGTTTCTGAGATGTGAGGGAATTCTCTTCCAAAAACCTTTCCCCGGAGAGCTTCGGACCAGTGCAGCTTCTTTGTAACAAAATTTGAGAAAATTTAGGGAAAACTACCAATTTTTTGGGAAAAACAAATGTGAAATCATAAAAAAGTGACCGTATCAAGTTCTGCTATCAACTGTCTACGCTACGTAAAAACACCACAGAGTTTAGCCTATTATTGTGTGGATGGGATGCAGTTATGATATGAAGCCAGCTCTAAAACTCTCGGGATGGGGAAAGAAAAAAAGGCACAATGAATTTCAACTCATTTTTTTCTTTTTATGTGCACAAGAGAGTTGAAAAATGTTCTGAGCCACCTTAAAGAGAAATTTAATCTAAAATTTATAAAACCTATAAATAATCAGAGGCCAGACTGCTATATTAAAACAGATTCTCTAGCAAGTAAAAATCTTGCAGTTTAAACATACGCTTGTATCCTCCTGGGGATACAAGACAAACCCCACCCCCCTCTTTAAAGTGGCTCCACCTTGGCAGAGATATATATTATATATATTGTAATGAATGCACACCCACTGTGTTGTTCATAGGTGAAAGCAATTAAAGGCCATATCACCAAAGAACAAACGTCAGTATTATTTAAATCCTAGTACGTTGCACATACCAGCTGTCTATATCCCAGAGCTTCCTCAGTGACCTTTAAGTCTTCAACTTAATGAATTGGCTAAGTTAACAGTTCTCTAGTGACAGGAACTAACAATTATGAATTCTATGGACAGCAACCATCAAACTCATCCAGGTAAAGATAGACAAGATATGAATGGCTCCAAAAAAAGAGCCTAGGCCAAAAAGCTCAGTGGGGAAGAACTTATGGTTACAGTCTCCATAAAATATAAGCAGCTGACAAGTGTTGTAACGCACCAGCATTTACCAAACACTGAAATTTCCATTTGGATAGAACAAGCCTTTAAAAGAAAATTGGATCCACAAATTTTGGATGGCATCTCTTTCATTATCACAGTAAACACGACCCAAGTCTGCTAACTAAAAGTGTTTCAATTTAACTATCCCTTCACATCAACTTATTGGGAATCTGTTAACACAATAAAATGTGTACCAGTATCCCTGTTGTAAAATGTTCCTAGTCACTCAGGCAATTGAGCTCCCACCACAAAAAAAAAAAAAAAAAAAAGAAAAATGTATATAAAAAGGAAAAAAATGCACATTGGGAACTGGGGCTTCTGAAAGCAACAAAGCTAATCAAATATAAACACCATATTGTCTTATCAGGGTCTGATTACCACCACTTGGACAGACCTGGTAAAACAAATTTAAATGAAAATATAGCTTCTTCAGCTTGTCAGAAAACATGGGGTTACTGAAAATAGCACTGTACAGCCAAATGAAGAATGCTAGCACCCCACGCTAAGAGCATTACTGCCTAATGGCTAGAGATGCGATGCTGCCCCCTTTTGTACAGGTATATGCATTAATGAGCCCTATTTTATGATTTGTAGCAAACCTGCTTTTAGCAGAATAAAGCTTTCAGGGAGCTTGTAGAACAGTTGCATCCAAGGTTGTGGCTTGCCAACTGTTAGACAACTAGTCAGGTTCCCACTAGCCTGTAGAGTACACAGCGCCTAGTGCGACTTCAACTTCCTGTTATGTTGCCAACCATGTACTAGAAAGCACTTATTACAAAGTAGATATTAAGACTAAATTACAGTAAACAAGAAAAGCTCCACAGTCTGACCTCAAGTCAAAAATCGCCATTATTCACCTAACTTAACATACCATCTCTAATGAGAAGCAAGGTTTCTCCCTCTACCTCCCCCACAGTATTTCAGGAGATCTTGTTGGAGAAAATCTTCCCTTGACTTTTAGGGATGGTTGCTTTCATCTTGAGATCAGGAGTTCAAGGGCAACTTCTAAGGAGAAAATAATTCCATGCACAGCTTTTGGTTACTTCAATAACAGCAGGAGAAACACAAGTTGAAGTCGTCAAATAGGGCATGATGTTCAATAAAAATAAAAAGGAGCTTTGCTTTTAAATCCATTCCATATTCCAATCATGACTTGGGAAGCAAGCTTGGGAAATACTAAAGAGACTTAAATGTTTTCTCTTACATTTTTTGTTTCCAATAATTCACCCAAGATAATCTTTTTTTTATTCAGTTTCAAACAAAATCTTTTGGCTTGCATGATTATTTTTTTTTTCCAATAAATTTATAGTTCCTCAAAATATGAAAATGTCTATGGAGAAGATGGAGGCTCAGAGGAGACTGTACCCTTTGCAGAGTCTTCCACAATGTATGCATTATAGCAAAGTCTTGATATACAGTGCACCAGGTTCAAGAAAAGCTACTTTTCCACAGGAAGCGGGTATGCCATCACTATGAAATCATCTTAACAACAGAAAAAGAAAGGTTGGATGTTGTGGCAGTCAGCACACAGTGCCAAATGGAAAAGGTAAAAAAATACAGCTGGGACTGTTAGGGTTTCAAAGAAAACCGAGCTCATGCATATGCAATTACAGTCCTTGTGAATGTGACGTTTGGCAACTGCAAGTGACAGATACATGGTTTTGCTTTAGAAGCATCAAAATGAAGAGGCGTGTGTATCTTGAAGCTTTTAAGGTTTCTTCAATTGGTGGACATCTGGTGGTACTACTTGTCGTGGGATAGAGAAAAGCTGCACTGCAACACACTTAGAAGTTAAAGTCTTTAGTCTGAAGGTTGGCCGACGGCTCAAAGTTTGTAGGTACCTCCCTGGGTGGCTTCAGGAATGAGGCTTTGATCTTCATCAATCTGTGAAGGTGAAAAGAAAAACCATTAAACAACTTTGCACAATCTAGACTACTATTGACTATAGACACGTACGTCCTGGTTCACACTGGACAGACTTTGAAATTATGTGACTTCAAGTGAAATCACACTATTTTAAAGATGGATGGCAGTGCAACTTCATAGACATCCGAGACTTCATGCACAGATGTCTATGCAAGTCGCACCCCAAATCAGCAAAAGTAGTGCAGGAACTTCTTTTCTAAATGTTTCCATTGCTGATCATTGCATGCAATATGTTATGCGATTTGAGCGGTCAGATCTCATGACAATTTGCATCAGTGTGAACCAGGGTAAAGGCATTTGATAAATAAAGATAAGATCCCCAGTAGGTCTAAAACTTCCAAGAGAAAGGCACAGGCATATATGACTAACATACCCACAGGTTTTTAGTTGTGCCAAGAAAAAAAACCTTGTGCCTCTGATGACAACATACAAGATAATATAATACAGTCTAGACAGAATTCTTTTACCATCCCCTCAGACCTAAAGACCAAAGAAGGTATCCACAGTTAAAATCTGCTCAAAATAAATTAAAGGAACCACGTTTTAATCAAAGTATAGCATCAAGTCAATTAACCTCCTGGGATATTGATCTAGTCAGTTAACAGAGGGGGTTGTTAATCAGTTTCACCTGCTTTGGTGTTAATGGAATTAACAACATGTGCACTACATGGGCAACCATGAGGCAACCCCCAAAAACAGGAATGGCTTTACAGGTGGAGGCCACTGACATTTTTTTTCCCTGCTCATCTTTTCTGTTTTTTACAAGTATTGCATTTGGCTAGGGTCAGTGTCACTGCTGGTAGCATGAGGCGACACCTGAACCCTACAGAGGTTGCACAGGCAGTCCAACTCCTTCAGTATGGCACATCCATACATGCCATTGCAAGGTTTGCTGTGTCTGCCAGCACAGTCTGAAGAGCATGGAGGAGATACCACGAGATGGGCAGTTATTCTAGGAGAGCTGGACAGGGCCGTAGAAGGTCCTTAACCCATCAGCAGGACCGGTATCCTTTGTGCAAGGAGAACAGGATCAGCACTGCCAGAGCTCTACAAAATGACCTTCTGAAGAGGGCTGTGCACAGGAGATGCCCTCGTAATCTGCCAGATTTGGAATGTTTTTGCAAGGAAGAGTGGGCAAATATTGCCAAGTCAAGATGTGTCATGCTGATAGACTCATACCCAAAAAGACTGAGTGCTGGAATAAAAATCAAAAGGTGCTTCGATCAAGTATTAGTTTAAGGGTGTGCACACTTATGTAACCGTATTATTTTAGATTTTTATTTCTACTTCCCTCCACCTAAAAGATTTCAGTTTGTTGTTCAACTGAGTTGTACAGTTTATAGGTCACATTAAAAGGTGGAAACAGTTCTGAAATTATTTATCTTTGTCTCATTTTCTTACATCACAAAGAAACCTGACATTTTAAACAGGGGTGTGTAGACTTTTTATATCCACTGTATCTATGTAAAAAAAAAACGGACCATAACATTAGTTTAGCAGAAAGTTTAACTCCCACATACAGAAAGGGTTCTTATTGTGAAGGCTATAAATAAGTTGTCCAAAACAAAAAAGTACAAATATTTTTAATAGAAACTGTAAAAGGTTGATCCATGGAGCTTGCCCTCTGCCTCTGGACAGAACCATTCTCTAGTTCACTTAAAATGGATTTTGGGTAGTCTCCCTGTTGGAAAAAGGTGATCACTTCCTGTCTGGACACAAAGTGAGAGGCAACTTCACAAAATGGACAGACTGAACGAAAAAAAAAAAAAACAAAAAAAAAAAAAAACACCCTGATTGTTAATCATTTCCCTGGATTATCCAAAAAAAAAAAAAAACCCGTTTTAGTAGGAGTTTTCAACACATGCACTGCTTTTCAAAGGATAGATATAAAATTAAATTGGGAAAAATTTTTAAAAAAAAAGACAAAAAAGTGATTAAAAACATGCCTGTGAAATTTTAAAACTTGAAACATCAACAGGCAAAACTGCTAAAAATTCAAGCAGAAACACACTTTACACATGTGTAAACAGCAGATAAGAGATCACAAGGCGCATAAAAAGGAACAAATGAGGGAATTTTTTTTGCTTAAACTTACATCATCGCCAGAAAAATACTGATCTATGATTTCAAACGCTAGTTTGTAAATTTCTTCATTCTCATGCTGCTGCAGTGCTTCTATCTTTTCCAAACCTAAAGGAAATAGAGAGCCACATAAAACACAAAACCTATAAGGGTTATCCATAAGAGAAATCTTACACATAGGACACCTGCATCTGATGCCACTGTAGAAAGGTAGGCTTTTCTTAAACCTGGTGCACTCATCTCTTCCCACTGGGCAGTATTATTTGTTTTATGTACATTTACTGTGGATTTGGAAATTGAAACATACGTACATTTATGCATAACCATACACACATTTGAAAACCTAGTCTGGATATAAAGTGACTTGTGAGACTACCTATACAAAGGCTGTGAAACCTGAGAAAAACAAGGAGTGCTTTTCTAACCTGCCTTAAAAAGATTAAAGAAAGCCAAAAATTGGCTTTTTGATTTACCTGTAAAATCATTTTCTTGGAGTACATGACAAGACACAGAGGACATCCTATTTATGGGTTATGCTGCAATTCATTCATGTACTGCACAAATGGGATACTGCGGCTCCTCATCAAACCCAAACCTGGGCCAATGCTTTGGTAAACACCCTGGAGTTCGTGGACAGGCTTAAAGGCAATGCCACAAATAATGGCTATCCTCCACTGCGATTTGCAGGAAATGCTGGTGAAGTCGGAAAATCAGAATGTGTAGGTAGGCATCCTTGATATAAAATGACGTCAGGAAGTTCCTTGATGAAGCAAAGCAATCACCGTTTGGGCAGATTCCATCCTGAACATGAGGCCCTTGAAGCAGTTTTAAACCCAAAAGCAAACACATTATATTGCAGCTTACCAATTCATAGATGTAATGGCTGTATTAGTTTTCTTAGGCTCAATTTTCATTTGGTGATCTGGCCAGTAAGTCTGTTTTTCCAAAGAACAAGCTCTTTCAGTTAGAGGGCTGAGACAAACCACTTACCACTGACAAGGGTGCTTACAATGATCCGCTTTTAGTTATTGAAAACCTTTATCCCAAAAGGAAAAAAAGTATTTGCTGTAACTGCTTATAATATGTTAGCTGGAGTTTGGCTTAAATTTGTTAGTGTATTTAAATTTGCTAGTACATTTAACACTCCCCTTCCGCCAGGAATGACAATGCGGCTGTCCAAAAAGTGCCCCTCTATGCTCATTCATCCAGGATGGGGGCACTGTAATACAAAAAGTGTGTTACTGGCCAGATCACCAAGGGAAAACAGAGGGGAAAAAAGCCTAAAAAAGTTCATTAATGCAGCCACCACATATATGATGTAACAATATATTACATTTTCAGTTTTTGTGTTTTATACTGCTTTAAGGTCCAGAACAGACCGGATTCCTCTATTGGCTTGGGAACCATGAACAGGTTGGAAGAGTACCCATGAAACCTCACCTACTCTGGTATGAGTATGTTGATCCCTTGGGATAGCAGCCTTTCCAGAGCCATACTTTTTTTTTTTTGTGGATCCGAAATTATCCTTGAGTGCATAAAGCATGGAGAGGGAAAGCGACGAAACTCCAGCTTGTATCCTCTGGACACCAGATTGCAGACCAAGTGGTCTGTGACTTCCTGGGCCCAGGTGGTAGCGAAGGCCAATAGACATTCCCACACCAGCGAGAGTGTGGGTGCTATTCAACGTGAGGAAAATTTGCCTCTAGAACCAAGAGTTGATCTAGATGTTACTGCAGAACAGAGACATAGGCCTTTGCTTAGAACCCAACCCTGTTGCTTAAAGGATACGTTCACCTTATAAAAAAATGAATGCACTTTTTTTGCATGTACAAAAATGTACGTTTTATTGTTTTCCTTGGGAGCCTGTAAAGCATTGTACCCACGATCAGCAGATTGTGGGGGGTGCAATGTCAGGCTCTTGCAGACTGTATGAAAAGTAAGGGCAGACAGTGCAGTGACAGGCAGGCACTGAAGTCCAGAAAGCTCAATGAAATATGAGAGCACTCACCACCGCCCTTGCAGTTCGCTGAGAACTACAAGATATCAACTGCAATGGCACAGAACTCTGAATGAATGGTGTGGGTGGGAGTCCCACACAGCCGTGCGGTTTTTAAAAATGACAGCAGGTGCGGGGAAAAGGTCCCCCACCTGCTGTTGCAAGGAGAGGTCAAATGGGGGGGTTAAATTGGTGGATGTTCAACATGAATACGGGTGTAACATGTTGAGAAAGGAGAACTTATCCTTTAAGGAACTTTTCCTGGATTCTGAAGACATCAATGGTTTCTGATCTGTCACCTTCAGGGGTACAAGTGTGCTTTTAACCAGTGTCACCTTTTGGATGAAGGCATCTAAGGATGGTCCAAACAAGAGTTCGCCCTCAAAAGGCAGCTTCCAAATTTGCTTCTTGTAGACAAGTTCTACCGACCAACACTTGAGCCATAGGATCCCTCTCATTTGGACAGACACTGTGCCCACCTTTGAATACTGCTGTAAGGAATTTTCCAAGGTATCCATCAAGAAACTCAAGGCTTTTGGAAAATTTTCTAGGAACTGCTAGATAGCAGGATCATCAGTGTGATTCCCGGGATTAGAGCATACGCTTTATCCAGGCTTTAAGGGCTTGGCCAAACTCCCAACTCCATCCTATCCTTGGCATATGCACACACCTGCCCATGATACTCCCCATCACCTAACACTAGCTAAAAACTGAAGCTTAGCTGAGATTGGAGTTTTGGTTGTGCAGGGCTTTCTACTTTTTGGGGCCAGTGTTAATTCACCTGATGGAAGCAGCATAACCGAAGCAATCATGAATATGAAGTCCGCTGTGTCCTGTGATACAGGATTAAGAAATACAGTTCTTTTAGGCAATTTCCACTTTACATTTACCAATGCTATGAACAGACATTAAATAAGCTGTAATTTCATCTAGGAGATATAAAGAAACAGGGCCTCACCTCCACACTCCTCTATGATCTCAGCAATCGTGCTGGCCTCTTCCCCAGCCATAATCAAAATGTTTTTCAAGCCATCCAAAACCACCTGTACAACTTGTGAGTCTTTCACAGATAATAAATTGCAAAATGGTGGGATAACGTTCTGTTGTACAAGGTACTCCACCTAAAAAAAAATAAATAATGAAACAAATACTATACAAGCATGTTTTTTGAGTGGCTAGTTTCAAGAATGACAGCATATAAAAGGGTGGCCAGATTTAGCAGCTCTCATCTTTTCTGATATCCATAACAGGGGAACCCTTCATGAGGAGGATAAAAGAAATCCAAACTGTACATATCCAAATTATTTAGCATATCCAGATTGATTTACTTTTTTCAGGACAATTAGGGTTTTCACTTTTTGGTACATGGTAATTGCCTGTTTTTTTTTTTTGTTTTTTTTTAATCAAAGGGGAAAACTGATACATAATAGTAAAAAATAATCCTTGCTATTACCGTAACCTATCACCAAAGAAGAACCCACAACAGTCTCCTACTCCTGACAATCGCAGTGATACCACATATGATACTACAAAAATAATATTGCACACTTTATTTCTAACCAAGAACCCAAATATACTGACCCTTACCTTTTTTTTCAAATACACGTTTTCATGGACATTTTTCACCTCCATTAGAAGATTATTATTATTATAATACAGGATTTATATAGCGCCAACAGTTTGCGCAGCGCTTTAAATATAAGGGAGACAGTACAATTACAATACATTTCAGTACAGAAGGAATAGGAGGGCCCTGCTTGTGGAACTTACAATCTAAAGGAAGGGGGAGGTGATACAAAAGGTGATAGCTGCGGGGGAGGATCTGGTGGAGGTGATTCAAGTGCAGTTCGTAGGTGGAGGTGGGGTAGGCTTCCCTGAATAAGTGAGTTTTCAAAGACCGCCTAAAGGCAGACAGGGTGGGGGGCTGACCGGACATGCTGTGGTAGGGAGTTCCAGAGGATGGGAGAGGCTCTGGAGAAGTCCTGGAGGAGAGCGTGGGGAGGAGGTGATGAGGGAGCTAGAGAGGAAGATATCATGGGAGGAGCGGAGTGGGCGATTTGGGGGGGGTATCTGTGGATGAGGTTGGTGATGTAGCTAGGGGCAGTGTTGTGGATGGCTTTGTAAGCTGTGGTTAGTATTTTGAATTTTATACACTGGGTTAGTGGAAGCCAGTGGAGGGATTGGCAGAGAGGGGCAGCAGTCGCTGATTGGTTGGTAAGGTGTATGAGTCTAGCAGCAGCGTTTATAATAGACTGAAGGGGGGATAGCCTGTGTAACGGTAGACCAGTGAGGAGGGAGTTGCAGTAATCGAGACGGGATATAACCAAGGCGTGGATGAGTGTTGTTTTCTGGTGTCATTGGTCAGGAAGGGGCGGATTTTGGAAATGTTCCGGAGGTTGAGGAGGCAGGTTTTAGCCAGTGATTGGATGTGGGGCCCAAAGGAGAGGTCAGAGTCTAGGATTTCACCTAGCACCCTGAGGGGAAGGACCAATGGTTGTACTGTTGATCTTAATGGTAAAGTCGTGAGTGGGGGATCGGGGAGGAGGAAATATTACAAGCTCAGTTTTTGAAAGACTGAGTTTAAGGTAGTGATGTGACATCCATGCTGATAAAGATAGAGTATCATCTTCTCCATTCAAAAGGAGATTAAGGAGAAAATAAATTTTAAAAAAACAGGTCACGGCTACACAGTTACTGATCACTTTGATAGCCGATCAGGTGATCACTTTGATAGCCGATCAGGTGATCAGAATCTGGGCTTTTCTGCTCCCAATTGTTCGTACAAGACTCGGGGCTCTCAATAAAAGTCCTGTACCTGTGCTGGGAGCACGTTCCCAGCAAAAACACATGTATGTATGTATGTATGTATGTATGGCCCTCCACCTCCCTCACCCACACAACACCCTCCCGCCTCCACGTCCTGCCGCAACCCCCGCAACTTAGTATCTGTCCCCCTGCTCCCTAAAATCTCCCCCCCTTTCTCATGTGCACTCCTGAATGCCCGATCGGTGTGCAACAAGCTTAGCGCCATCCACGACCTCTGTTTCCCGCTCCCTCAACCTCCTAGTGATTACGGAAACCTGGATCCAGCCCACTGACTCTACCTCCCCTGCTACACTCTCCTACGGAGGTCTCGTCTGGACCCACTCACCCAGGCCCAACGGTCGTAAAGGTGGTGGGGATGGTCTGCTCCTGTCACCGCAGAGCACCTTCCGAGTAATCCCAAACCCCCCCCTCTCTATCCTTCTCCCTCTTTGAGGCCCACTGCATCCGACTATTCTCCCCAACCCCCCTGAAGATTGCTGATATACCGGCCTCCTGGATCCATATCCCGCTTCCTGATGACTTTTCCTCCTGGCTACCGTTCTTCCACTCCTCTGAGCTACCCAACATCATCCTTGGGGATTTCAACATCCCTGTCAACCTCGACAACCCGACCACATCCCATCTCCTCCACTTAACCTCCTCCTTTGCACTTGCTCAGTGCATACAATCCACCACCCACTCCGACGGTAATATCCTTGATCTTGTCTTCTCCAACCGCTGCGCTCCCCACAACCTCACTAACACCCCCTTCCCTCTCTCTGACTACAACCTGATTGCCTTCTCTATCTCTCCTCATCCTCCAAGCCTACCCCCTCCAAATGTCACAGTACTACCAGCCGTAACCTCCGCAACCTTAACCCTGCCCCCCTCCACTATGCAGCTGATCAACTCCACGACAGCATCCTCCCCCTATCCTGCCCCGACTTGGCTATGACTGCCTACAACAATGCGCTGTCAACAGCCCTTGACTCACTAGCGCCTTTAACCACATGCAACATCAGACCCCGACCACTCCAGCCCTGGCAGACTGATCACACCAAAACCCTCAAACGACACAGTCATGCCCTGGAGCGACTATGGCGCAAAACCAAATCCCAACAAGTCTTCACCCACTACAAATCTGCCTTCCACACCTACACCACCTCCCCCCACGCAGCCAAACAAGCGTACTTCCTGACCCTCATCAAGGCCCTCTCCTCCAATCCTCGCCGACTCTTCTCCACCTTCAACTCTCTACTCTCTCCACCCCCACCCAGCACCTCACTCACCGCCCTTGAGATTGCCAATCACTTCAAAAACAAGATTGACACAATTCGCAAGGACATCGACGAAACTCACACGCCCTCTCAACCCGTCCCTCTCACACAGCTACCCCCTCATCCCCCCTCACTCGACATAACCCGCAGGGACTTCGTCACTGCTCAAACTCCCTCCAACCACGTTTCCCCCTCACTCAGCTACCCCCTCATCACCCCTCTCCCACGGCCCCACCACTGCTCTGACCTCCACTTCCACCCACCCCTACATTCCTCATACTGAAGCCCCCCCAACACTCCACATCTTTGACCTTACTACCATCGAGGAAGTCTCCAAGAACCTCTCTGATGCCCCCCCACCACCTGCCCCCTCGACCCTATCCCCTCACAACTCCTATGACCTCCCACCCCCTCCATCCTACGCTCCCTCACCCACATCTTTAATCTCTCCCTCTCCTCCGGCACTTTCCCCTCCCCTCTGAAATATGCACACATCACCCCCATACTTAAAAAGCCCTCCCTGGACCCCAATGACCCGAACAACCTCAGACCCATCTCCCTGCTCCCATTTACATCCAAACTCCTCGAGCGCCTAGTCTACACCCGCCTAAGCTCTCACCTCAACAACAACCTCCTCGATCCCCTACAGTCCGGCTTCCGTCCCCTACACTCCACCGAAACTGCCCTACTTAAACTCTCCAACGACCTGCTAACCGCCAAAGCTAATGGCCACTATTCAGTGCTCCTACTCCTTGACCTCTCTGCGGCCTTCGACACAGTCGACCACCCCCCTCCTCCTCAAAAAACTACACTCCCTTGGCCTCAGAGATTCTTCTCTCTCCTGGCTCTCATCCTACCTGTCACAACGCTCTTTCAGCGTTACCTATAATGCTACCACCTCCCCCTCACTCCCCCTCTCTGTTGGGGTCCCTCAAGGCTCAGTCCTTGGGCCCCTTCTCTTCTTCTCCATCTACACCTCCTCCCTTGGCCAACTCATACACTCTCACGGCTTCAACTACCACCTCTATGCCGACGACACACAAATCTATCTCTCAACCCCCCCCCCACTTCACCACCTCAGTCTCCGCCCGAATCACACACCTACTGAGCGACATATCAGACTGGATGTCGCTCCACTTCCTTAAACTGAACCTCTCCAAGACCGAGTTTCTTGTCTTCCCCCCAGCCCGGACACCCCCCCCCATTGACTTCTCCATCACATCCAACAACGCCTCCATCAAACCCGCCCCGCAGGCCAGAGTACTTGGTGTCATTCTGGACTCCAACCTATCCTTCCAGCCCCAAGTCCAATCTTTAACAAGCTCGTGCAGACTCAATCCCGCAACATCGCCAAAATACGCACGTTCCTAACCCCAGAAACCACTAAACAGCTCATCCACTCCCTCATCATATCACGACTCTACTACTGCAACTCCCTCCTTACTGGCCTGCCTTGCCGCTGGCTATCCTCAGTCGATCCTGAATACGACTGCCAGACTCATTCACCTTTCCAACCGCTCCATTTCTGCCACCCCCCTCTGCCATTCCCTCCACTGGCTTCCGATTGCGCAACGGATCAAATCAAAATCCTAACACACTGACGTACAAAGCCATCCACCACACTGCCCCGAAATACATCACTGACCTAATATCAAAGTACCACCCAACACACACTCACCGCTCCTCACAAGACCTACTTCTCTCTAGTTCCCTGGTCTCCTCCTCCCATGCCCTGCCTCCAGGACTTCTCCAGGGTGTCACCCATCCTCTGGAACTCCCTGCCCCAACCCATCAGATTATCACCTACTCTCCTCTCCTTTAGGCGCACCCTGAAGACCCACCTCTTCAGGGAAGCCTACCCCACCCCCTGCTAACTTGCCAACCTCCTCCACTCTTCCTACCACCCTATCCCCCTCAGCTATCTTCTCCTGTGCCACCATCCCCTCCCTCCTAGATTGTAAGCTCGAAAGAGCAGGGCCCTCTCGATCCCCTCATGTTTTGCATTGTATTGTTATTGTTCTGTCACATGTTCTGTCCCCCTTTGTAATGTACAGCGCTGAGCGAACTATTGGCACTTTATAAATACTGTATAATAATAATAATAACGTTAGCTGATGGTGGTACCTTTCCACCACAGAGCGCATCTTGATCACTAACTTACCAGAGGATTAACTGGAATTTTACAAAAGGCAAAACCTTTTGAGTGGGCAAAATCATTTTCCTTTTATATGAAGAAAAGTATTCCTTTATCTCACCTGGTCTTTTCGGCCACTTATTGTTAAGTTGCTGATTGCCCAGGCAGCTTCTTTTTGAGTTCCAAAGTCACCCTGAAAAAACAAAAAGAAAAAAAAAAAAAAAAGTGAATGGGCAAATTATTCTGTGTCATCAGAATACACACAACACTAAAGTGCATAAGCTACAATTTTATACAGCATTGCTATTTATGTCTGAACAGTGCACTAACGCTTCAAATTCAGAGAGCACAAACTCACCTTAGCCAGCTGATGTATGATCATGGGGATTAGTCCAGCATCAATAACTGCTTGAACCTGTTGCTGATTGCCCGCTGTGATATTGGACAGGAACCAAACTGCTTCCTAAAAATATCAAAGTATTGCACAGTAAGATCAAAGTATTGAGCAACAGCAAAGAAGAGCTTTAGCCTACGCTACCTCACGCACAGCTTAGTGACTATTCTTGGTGTTCCACGGTGCCAGGATAAATTGACTCCTATACACATATGCGGGAGTTGCATCATGTCATGCTGACCTTTCAAGATGCCCAAAAATCCCCAAAAGACCGGGAGAAGATGTCTGTACTAATAAGGGAGGTTGTAGCACAGGAGGGAAGGCAAGTATAGGACTTTGAGCTCTGCTTGAAGAGGTTTATCAATGACAGCACTGCCAATGTTCTAAAAATTTATTAACATTGAAAACCACCATTTACTAACATGTCAGGGTAGCATCAGAGCTTGCTTCTAAGAATCAGCTATGACAAAATAGTTTTGGAGGCACAAATGAAATTTATATAATTTTTTTCCCACACAAATAGAGCTCTCTTTTGGTGGTATTTGATCACCATTGGGTTTTTTTATTTTTTGTGCTATAACTAAAAAACAATTAAAATTTAAAAAAAAAAAAAAAAAAAAATTTAAAACCTCCAATAAAAATTAAAAATCAAAATTTCTTCAAAAATATTGGCCAAAATGTATACTGCTACATAAAAAAATCTCAATAAGCACATTGGTTTGCATGAAAGTTATAGCTTCTACAATCTATAGTATATAAACTGGAATTTTTATTTTTATACTAGTAATGGTGGCAATCAGCGACTTATAGCGGGACTGTGATAGTATGGTGGGCAATTTGATATTAACTTAAACTTTTGACACTTTGTGGGAACCAGTGACACTAATACAGTGCTCAGTACTAAAAAAATACACTGTCCCTGTACTAATGTCACTGGCTGGGAAGGGGTTCAACATTATGGCGATCAAAAGGATAAATGTGTGCCTAACCAGTGTTTGTGTGTGTACCGTGTGCTGCTTTCACTAAGGGATGTGCCGGTTTTTATTCTCTGCTTTGCAGGGAAACAAAAACCGGAACATCCCCACTAACAGGACAGAGCTCTGTATTGTTTACCGTCTTCCTCCTTGCCAATCAGCGGGTGCCAGTCATTCATTGGCCGGGTACCTGCTAATCGGCTTGTACTATGACTAATCACAGCACAGGCAGTGTGTCGGTGGCGCGTGCACCCTACCCAGAAGTTCCGGATCTCATAATAGATGCATGTTCCAGCACAAGAGAAGCTCTGCTGCTGTACTCCTACGGGAGGTAAGCAGGTAAAAGTGAAACCAAACAGACACAATTACTTACCTTGGTTCCCACAGTCAGAAGGCCGGTAGGTTCCTCCCTGGCATTTTCTCCCCGGGTTCTACTGAATGCTGGTCTTTAGTCATTCTTATTTGGCAGTGCAGAATGTTGTCACTTCTATGCATGCAAAGAAGTGCAGTCATCCCGGTACACTGACAGAATGTAAACTGAGCTGTGTATGTACAGCTCAGTATATTTTGTAGATGACTGAGAAAAGGTAGGTAAGTGTACTAAGACATTGCATGTCTCTTCTGCAATAAAAGGTCTGCCAGTTCACAATTTAGCAATTTTAAATTTAGTTCAGTTTTAAAGACAGATTGGCCTAGGATCTAAAGGGACAAATATCAACAAAAGACTTACAAGGGTAGTTACTGCAAGGTGTCTGTATCCAATGAAAATAACAGTACTGAAATGCAAAGCAATCTGATTGGTAGAGGTGGAATAGAGAAGCTGATAACATCACAATCTCAGCCAATCAGACAAATACCTGATATTTGAAGAAAAAAAGCGAAAAACAAAATCTCCCCTAGGATGCAGACAAGCGACTGTTTAGTAAAGGCAGAAAGATTCTTCTGCACCCACCAAAATAGGATGCAACTTACTATATGTTCATAAGCTTTACACGGCCATATGGGAGGTGGAATCTAGATAATTCGTTTGTGCTAAGCTGGCCAAAAGGTAATATTGAAACTACTAATTTCTGGAGTTCTCCTTTCACAATTATGACCTTTTTGATCACTTGGATTTCTAGTTTTTTTTTTTTTTTGTTTCAACCAACTCTTAGACACATTAAAATTAGACTACCTTATTGATTTTTTCTTTAGGATGCGTCAGTAGATTTTGAAAATGTGCAAGGACATCACAGTTCAACACCACTTGAGTCTGTTCATCGGGTGCCTGTCACTATATTACCCACGGCTCTTAACGCTGCTGTCTGAAGGAAAAACCAATATAAAAGAAAAATCGTAATTAATAACAAAATCATAACAAATACAACAGATCTAATTATAGGAGAAAAAAGCTTAACAGATAAAAACCACTAGAGGCTGCTCAATGTTGGATATAGAAAGGGCTCCTTTCACTGCCCTGGTCTACACACATACTTCAAAGTGACAAAAAGCACACCAACACCATTTAATTCTTTGAAAGCACAGACCTTCTCAAATTAGAAATAAATATAGTTCTCAAAGGTTTTCACCCATGGCACTGTTATGCTAAGCCGATAATAGTAATAAATAGTTGACAGATATTCAAATCCTTCTCTGCTCTATCCATAACCAAATGTAATATATTTGATAACCTCTAATGCAGTCTCCGCTCCATTTTCCCTGAGGAACCATTCATGTTATTTTCAGGCCTCAGGAAATCCCTGATAAAATTCCTCAGGGGTCAGTGGGAAGAACACCCTCCTAAGGCATGTTTAATGCAAGCTCAACACAGGGAAACCGAAAAACAATTGTGCCCAATTTACACAACACAGGTGCATTAGCATGTGTTGCATAAAAAAGCTGCATGTCTGCATTTTAACACAGCACTATAATACTACTTAACACACTGCACTGAGCTGCTGCTGCACAATGCACACCAGTGTGGACATTACATGGAGCTAGTGCGAAAGGGCTCTTACAGCAGAGGTCAGAATGCCACCTTTACAGGTAAAGGGATCAAAGGCTTTCATGAAGATGGCTCTGTCCCATGCTGCTGTAGCCAGAACAATGCAGGTATTAACAGATGGAAGTTAAATCAATCACAGCTCATGGAACCCGCAGTAACCTCTAGAGGAATCATGGTTGATGAATGAACTAATGGGTACAAAGGGTACCTATTACAAGAATTTGTGTGCAGGTGTTTATTTGTAATGTGCACCACACAAGCATCAACATTTTTTTTTGTGTTTTTTTTTTTAGCATTTGACATCTTATCGTGGTTCCAAGGGACAGATAACAGTATGCAAAGGTCCATATTACACAACTTGGTCCAAATTGGTGATCAGATGGCCATAAGGCAGTTGTTCTCAACCTTCCTAATGCCGCGACCCTTTAATACAGTTCATCATGTTGTGGTGACCCCCAACCATAAAATTATTTCCGTTGCTACTTCATAACTGTAATTTTGCTACTATTATGAATCGTAATGTAAATATCTGATATGCAGCATGTATTTTCATTGTTACAAATTGAACATAATTAAAGCATAGCGATTAATCACAAAAACAATATGTAATTATATATTGTGAAATATTTATTTCTAATTACAAATAAATGAAATTTTGTCTTGAAGCATGGTGTAGCATGGGTAACAGTCTTAATATAACAGTAAACTACATTGCTACATTTTGCGACAGTATGCGTAAAAAGCCAACGTCAGTACGAAGTTTGAGATTGCTTCTTGCTCACCAGATCAGAAATTCTCAAGGCAGTCTTTGCAAGAGCACAACGGAGATCATCTTCCACAACAAGTCTACTTCTGGAGCGGTGTCTCGGTTCCTAAGACCATAGGAAATGTGTTTTCCGATACTCTTAGGCGACCCCTGTGAAAGGGTCCTTCGACCCCCAAAGGGGCCGCGACCCACAGGTTTAGAACCGCTGCCATAAGGTCACGTTATCACTGTCAGTGGCATGACTTGAGTGACTCCTCACTTAAGTGACCATCAGCATGTGTTTGCAAGGATAAGCCAAGACTTTTAATCGAAGTCAGCTGAAGTTGGTCCATTAAATTAAAATATTTGGAAAGGATGTGCCCTAACCACTTGCCCTCCTGAGGATTTACCCCCCTTCCTGACCAGGCCATTATTTGTGTTACGGTGCTGTGTTACTTTAACTGGAAACTGCACGGTCATGCAACGCTGCACCCAAATTAAATTTATGTCCTTTTTTTTTCCCCCCACAAATTGAGCTTTCGGTGGTATTTGATCACCTGTGCATTTATTTTTTGTGCCATTAAAAAAAAAAAAAAAAAAAAAAAAAAAACACAAAAATGATATTTTGGACTTTTTGCGATAAAAAAAAAAAAAAAAAAATCAAATTTCAGCATAAATTTAGGCCAACATGTATTCTGCTACATGTCTTTGCTAAAAAAAAAAAAAAATCTCAATATGTGTAAATTAATTGATTTACATAAAAGTTATAGCGTTTACAAAATGGTGGTATGGCTACTGGGATTTTTTCTACTAGTAATGGCGGCGACCAGTGACTTTTAACGGGACTGCGGCGAACATTCTGACACTGGGGGGGAACTAACTTGGTGTCACTGACATTCCCAGTGACACCAATACAGTGAGCAGTGCCAAAAAAAAAAAAAAAAAAAAAAAAAAAAAAAAAAAATCACTGACACTGTACTAATGACACTGGGCAGGAAGGGGATAACATGAGGGGCGATCAAAGGATTAACTATATGCAGGAAGTGTTGTACTGGGGGGGGGGGGGGGGGGGGGGGGGGAGGTGCTTCACTGTAAGCACACTGCGCACAGCCATTCCCAGCAGTCAGGGAAGACCACTATTTGTAAACAAAACAGTCTTCCTCCCCGTTGGAGATGCTCGGTAATCACCGGGCGGATAATTACCGGTCCAGGCCCGGTGATTGACAGCTGCGGCCACGAACGGCGGAGTGGGTAAGGCGTGTGTGCCCCCTACCCAGAAATGCAAAATCACGTGTATACACACGTGATTTTGTGCACCCGTACTGCCCTGTAGCAGTATTTCTGCTATAGGGCGGTTTGGAAGCAGTTAATAAACTAAAACACAATTCTATATTAATTGCAGAGTTTCGACCTGACATTTTGTATTATTGGTGGTTGTAAATTTAAATCCATTCAGAACCAGGGCCATTTAACATATCTATACAGAATGAGGTCAAATTATTTTGAGTGAATATCTTACAAAACACAATTTTGGTGAATACTAAAAATTCAACATTAACAATTGATCCAAATGGTAAAAACATTTCCTGGCTATTTACACCAACCTCAAAGTAATTCCTTATCGGTGTTTTTTATAGTTTTAGATCACTGCACACTTTTCCCTTAAGGCTCCACTCACATTACGGAGTTTCAAATCGCGGGCAGGATTGCAGAGATTCTGCCTGCAATTTGAAAATGTGGTGTGACAATGTGAAAATGCGCGATCGTGTTTGGCGGTGCCATTCATTTCAATTGCACTTGAAAAACGTGGGGACGTTTTTGCCACGATCATGGCGTGTTTGTTCGTGCAACAAACACGCCGTCTGCGTGGAAAAGCATGTCGCGATCGCAGCAAAAACACCCAGCGTTTTCAGGTGCCACTGAAATAAATGGCACCGCTAAACACGATTGCGAGTTTCACATTGTAACGACACATTTTCAAATTACATGCAGAATCACGGTGAATCCACCTGCGATTTGAAACGCCCTAATGTGAGTGGAGCCTAAGGAATAACGATCAACTCACTTAACTTACGCACTTAAAATTGAAGCCAAAAATGAATGTCGAGATTTTTGTGTATGGGCCTGGGTAGGGATTTTGGTTTGCTGCACTGAATAAGCCTGCCATTTCCAAAAATTTTCAGGTGTCACTAGAAAGTGGTATCGGAGTCTGGGTTAACAGTGCACTTTGACTAAGCAGTGCTTACACTTCATTAGGTGAGCAACACTCAGTTCAATAGAGAATGCTCACAGAGAAAGGAGGACTTGTGATGTTACCAGACCAGGGAGATTCAAGGAGGGCGGGGGGGTGTAGCATGAAAATTGGAGTTCAGCTTTAACCACTTGTCCTCCAGAGGATTTACCCCCCTTACTGACCAGGCCATTTTTTTGCGTTATGGAGCTGCGTTATTTTAACTGACAACTGTGCAGTCATGCAACGCTGCACCCAAATGAAATGTATGTCTTTTTTTTCCCCAATGAATAGAGCTTTCTTTCAGTGGTATTTGATCGCCTCTGCATTTTTTATTTTTTGCACTATAAAAAAAAAAAAAAACCCAACAATTTTGAGGAAAAGAAAAAAAAAAAAAAAAAAAAATATTTTGCAATTTGTTGCTATTAAACAAGGCCAGTAAAAAAAAATTAAAAAAAATCAAATTTCGTCATAAATTTAGGCCGAAATGTATTCTGCTACTTCTCTTTGCTAAAAAAAAAAAAATCCCAATATGTGTAAATTAATTGGTTTAGGTGAAAGTTATAGCGTTTACAAATGGCGTCTTATAGCAGGACTGCGGCGGGCATTCTGACACTGTGGGGAACTGACTTGGTGTCACTGACATCCCCAGTGACACCAATACAGTGATCAGTGCTAATAAAAAGCACTGACACTGTACTAATGGCACTGGGCAGGAAGGAGTTAACATGTGGGCGATCAAAGGGTAAACAGTGTGCTGTTTTACTAGGGGCTGTGTGTGTGCTTCACTGTAAGCAGTGAATGGCGGCGCAGGTGGGGCGCACGCCCCTACTGGAAATGCAAAATCATGTATATATACACACGTGATTTTGCTCACCCTTGCCGCCCTGTAGCAGTACTTCTGCTATAGGGCGAACAGGAAGCTGTTAAGCGCTGACTGAAACGAGGAGAACGAGGATGCAAAAAGCAAGGAAATCCTATACTTATTCTGTGTCTGTGCAAACCATCAATGGGTGCATTTCTTCTTTTGATGCATTAATGTATATTATAAAGCGTACTGATGATAAATGGCAGCACATGGAAATGAATGATTAATGCACACTAAAATGTGCATGTAAAAAAAGTATACCCAAACACTGACTATTTAAAGCTGACCACCCAGAAATGCCAGAATCTTAACCTTGCCAAATCAATTAGCAAACCTTGACCTCTTCTGCTTCTTGGTGTATGGCTTTAACACTGAGCGGCCACATTTATGCATCTATACTGTGCTGAGAGCGCACTCCTAGCGCAGTAACTGAAGTGTCAAGAAAAGCTCCCGATGCATACATGCAACTTTCGATCATGTGACATGTTACAGTCATTCACAGCGGTCACATGATCAGAATGCCCCATCTCTGCCTCCCAGCATTTCAATACACTTTAAGGGCATGGGAATTGGAGGTAGGAAGGGGGTTAATCAAAATTACAACCCTTCCTGCTTAAAAAGGGAATTAAAAGCTGCTTTACCTGAACTTTTACTTCCTGGTGACTCAGAAGCGGTACTAAAAATGGCACAACTCCAGAATCTATCACCATCTGTATTTGTTCATTACCACCATCAGTTAAATAGGACAATGCCCATACTGTATCCACTAGAATCTAAAAGGAAAAAAAAAAAAAAAAAACAGAAAGGGACATTATAAACCTGTGCTTTACAAGCAAAAAAAAACAAAAAAAAAAAACAAAAAAACATAAAACTCAGGTACTTTATGATTAGAACATTCTTTTATTGTATGGGATTGAAAATGACATATTACTCTCACCTACAATATTGTCAGTTCCAATTCTGATCAAATACATCAACAGGATACAGACCTTTTTAAATTTGGTTAGTGGTATATCTTTTAGCACAATTTAAAATAGAAGCTTTTGTATTCAAGGTCAGTCGCATCAACCAGTAATTGGCTAAGACCGCAAATGGATGGACTTCACTGACTCTTACTAGAAAGCAGCAAATGACAGATCGTAGACAAGAAAATTCAAAGTGGTTTTGAGCATCTCTGGAAGGGAGATGTACTTGCGCCTCATTTCCATGACAGAAAATAAAAAATAAAATATGACCTCAACTATTCTGCTCTGGTAATTCCGCCACACTCTTTGTTGCACAGAGATATCATGCATTCATCTACTACACATTAACACGTCACATTATCAAACTGAAAAAATATTAACATACTTACATTAATGTCTGTATGGTATATTAGGACACATAAAGCAGGCAAAATCTAGAAAGAGAAAAAAACATTTAGAATTTTAAAGGGCATGGTAGTGAAAAGAGGCATTCTTAATATGAATCAACTTAAAATCATTTTGGACAAACTGGTTTATTTGTTCTCAAAAGCGGAAGCTATATATAATAAAAATATTTACAAAAATGTGAGGGGGGGTGTACTCACTTCTGTGAGATATTGTATATCTTACAAAGGCCCTCTATCCAGGTTGGACAGGTGGGGCTCTGCTCTCTAACACCATGGCCCAAACTAGGCCTTCGTGTTAACCGAAAAGCTGCCACTGATGTGTCATTCAGCAGCATGAATCTGCAGCACAGAAGTAGATCAGAAGGCACTATATGGTCATCAGTCAGTAACATTCTACACAATACCAGCAATGAAGTATATAATGCCTACTATAAAAGCAGACAAGTTTCACAAAGAGGATCATTCATAAAAAAAAACCAAATGGCTTAAAATGCAAGCAAAGAACTCAATGTATACAGTCTATGAGCACCCATTTAATGAAATAAGCCCCAATAATGTGAGACTTAGATTTGCTGCTTTACAGAAACACCAAAGGGAAGGTGGAATATTTTAGAAAGTGTCTCAAAAACAAATGCGCTTTTTCACCCTGCAGACAATCAAAATCAAGCTTTCCTTTCAGTCAATCTTGTCGGCAATAGATTTACTGCTTAGATACAGACCTGTTTTAAAGGCAGCTTGAAAAGCAATCTGTCACAGCGATCAGCAATGCCCAAAGATATCCATTCCCTGCCACCTAATCTATGCCCGCAGCTCCCTGTTTTCTCCTCCGCTCTCCGTTGACAAGAGCCCCTTTAGGACTGACAAGTTACTAAACTCTTTACAAGCTCTGCATGCAAGTACATTTTAGAAGTGATGCTTCCATAAAGCAGTAAATATAGAACAGATTAGTCATGATTTTCCCTTGATCTCAAAAGAGTGAGCAGTAAATCCTCTCAGCATGGAATCCGTAACAGCAAAACTATTTCAACAACACTCATTCAGATAACTGTTAAAACAACTGCAGCTTGTCAATTTCAAGATACATTAACAACCTTAAAGAGGAACTTCACCTCCCCAATGAAAATTAAGTTTCTTTCCTTTTCCCTGCTACTCTATGTTGCACATCTAGATCCAGTGTTGTCCTCTATCGCACCACTCTCCTACTACAGGCCCTGTGTTGCCAAACTGTGATCCACACACCTCAGAATTTAGGGAAGTTCAATAGTCAAGCAAAAAAAAAAAAAAAAACCATAAGCAGAATGATAACTCAACAGTGGTAGCCTCTGTTTTTATCCCTCAGTGTGTCACCAACTGGAAAAAACAATGTAGAGCAGAAAAGTTAAAGAGTCAGAAGTCCTTATCTACATACCTGTTCTAAGTTTATAATTCAGAAATATTCAAAACAAGATGATCAACATGACAGCCAGCCAACTTGTATTTTCAAGAGCAGAGTAGAGCTCAGCAATGGCAGCTTATACAGTTTCTTTCATAACCAGTACAAATAGGTTTTGTGAATTCCAGTAGAGATTTTCTCTACTTCTCCAAAAGCTTCTCAAGCGTATTTAAAATGTTCATTGTACACAGCAAAGTTGTCATCACACGAATCATCTTTTTTTTTACCTCCTGTACAGTCTCCATGGGTGGCGGGGGGTCCTTATTTCTGCACAGATTGACAATGACCCATGTGACGTTCCGAAGGAAAGTGATGGGGATGGAAGGGTTGATGAAGGACAAGAGCGGTTTAACAACTCCAAGTGATATGACATAATCTCTACACTGTGGACCATCACCTACAGAAATGAAAGGGTTCAAAGGAAATTCCATTAAAAATGAAGAAAAATAAAAAGGGTGACCTTACATGCATGAGTATAATTATTTCCTTGAAGAAATGCTGTGAAATATTCCAGCAGCTAAAGTTTAAATTTAAATCTTAAAGACAATATATATAACAATTGAACAAAAAAAAAAGTAAATTGGCCAATCACACATTTGCTTTCCCTTTTAGTATTTTACAAAAAATAAATAAAATGATTTGTTAATCAAGAAGGATTTCTTACCGATAATATTTCCAAGTGCCCACACTGCCTGTTCACAGACATTTTGATGCACGGAATGGAGGAGTCTCAGAAACAGTGGAACAGCATCTGCTCACGATACAAGGTGGAAAGAAAGAAAATAGACTTAACCCGTCACCCTAGACAATAACACAGAGTCAAATCACTGGTAACAAATTTACAACAAAACTATACTATTTAACCTTTTTGCTGACAGAGCTTTTTTTTGCACACTTAAAAAAAAAAAAAAAAAATATATATATATATATATATATATATATATATATTATATATATATATATATATATATTTATATTTTTTTTTTTTTTTTTTTTTTTTTAAGCCTGAATAAAACCACCAACATTTTATATTTTCTGAAAGCAGACACCCTAGGAGATATTGAATTACAATTCACGGAGGTCCGGACATTAAAAGTTTTTTATACATGCTCATCAGTACCTGCCATCAAGGAGCTTACAGTTTCAGGTCCTTAGCTTACATACATACACGCACAAACATACTAGGACCAATTTCAATAGAAGCCAATTTTACTACCAGCATGTCTTTTGCATATGGAAGGAAACTGGAGTAAACCCACACAAGCCCAGAGAGAGCATGCAGACTGTTCATACACCGTCCTGGGCAGGATACAGTACTGCAAGGTGGAAGTGCAAACCACTAAAGCCACTGTGCTGTCAATGGTTTCTGAACGTTTTGCATTTTTTTTTTTAGGAATATTTACAAGCTTACACACTGATCTTTGACATCAGATTTTAAAGCGGAGTTCCACCCAAAAGTGGAAGATCCACTTGTTTGCCTCCTCCCCCCTCCACTGCCATATTTGTCACCTTTTTTTTTTGTGGGGATGCGGTTTTGACAGGTAGCGGCTCCTACTTCTGGATCAGTTCTCCGCAGTGAAGTGAGCCAGAAGTTCAGCCTCCCTCCTTCCTCCCGCAGTCTCCTGAGATCCTTCACAGCTCCCAGAAGACTGCCAGACCAATCAGGATGCGCAGCACAACTCGCACATGTGCAGTGGGCACCCGGTGGTGAAGCCGCAAGCTTTCACAGCCTGGTGCCCACAGTTAAGATGCTGGCAACGGGAAGAGGAGAGAAGGGACGGCGTGGGTGAGATCATCAGTGGTCCTTGGGACAGGTGAGTGTGTGTTTATTAAAAGTCAGCTAGCTAGTTTTTGTAGCCGACTTAAAACACAAAAATGGCTGTAACTCAGCTTTAAAATATAAAAAACACAGTGCTTCCCAGTCTCTGGAAATGTCCATGGATTCCCGACTTCAAGCAGCCATTGCCAGTAAAAGGTTTCTCAACAAAATATTAAAAATGAACATTTTATTTATGATTATATTCATTTTTCCAATTACATTTGAGCCCCTGAAAATGGAGGGACTGTGTATAAAAATGGTTGTAGTTCCTAAAATTTGTATGTGATATTTATGTTCAACCCCTTGAATTAAAGCAGAAAGTCTGCACTTCAAATGCATTTGGATTGTTTCGTTTTAATTTATTCTGGTGGCATACAGAGCAAAAGCATGAAAAATTGTGCGTATGTACACACACACACACACACACACATATACACACTTTTTTAGTTATGAACATATACAACAATCCCTTTGCATACTAGAATTTAAGACAAAAGAAAACGCTTACTGGACTGGACCACTGCTTGAGTTTGTGCCGACGTCCCTGATGCTATATTAGTTAATGCCCAGGCAGCTTCAAACTGTAAAGAAGGACTGGAACACAAGATTTCAAGTTTTTCATTTTGTTAGATATAAAAACATCAAAAGTAAATCTGTCATGAGAGAAATGTGGGGGCTGCCCATTGATAAACACCCAGCCAGTATGCTTGCGCTCTGGCCCCAAAGGACCTCTAAATCACCAATCCAGAACAGATACACAGAGCAAGAAATTCAGAACTCCCGATATGTATACTTATTACAAGTATTTCAGCATTAAAATCAGGCAACGAAGGGAAGGTGTGCAAATCGCCATGTTGTGCTCAAATCAGGTTTCTTTACGCATAAATATTGTCTATAAAACTACATGTGAATTAAAATGTATTATATAAAAACTGCAGAAGCCACAAGGTGCTGGTAGGAACTGCTAACTTGCTACAATGCATACAGTGCACTTCCCAAGTTTGGGGGGGTTTGGAGCCCAATTTTAACAAGATGACAGTATGTATCAATACTTTGTGGTGCCTGTTATTCCAAAGATTTTTTTATTTAAAAGGAAACCATTTTTTTATGTTACTTTGTTATTCGTATGAGATCTAACCTGGATAAAAAACATTTAGTCCTCATGCACACTGGACACAGCTGCTGTTTTTTTTCTACAGCCAGTAAACTCCCCAGCATGTTATCCTGTGTGTCCATGCACACATAGGCTAATCAACATTTTTCGGCAGGGATGTTTTTTGGCTGGAAAACCCTCCAGAACTAGTGGGTTTCTAGAGGAGTTTTTTAGCTGTAAAAACGCTCTAATGCGGCAAAACGCAGTAAATCGTGGCAAACCATCGTTTGACTTTTGACCACAAAAAACTTTTTTTTTTTTTTTTTACAAAAAAAAAAAAAAAAAACCACACCGCTAAAAAAAACAAACGCGGCAAAAACGCTAATACAAAAAAAAAACCTCATGTTTTTAACGTGACTTTACACAGCTAACGTTACCAGCGTTATTAAAACGACCAGTGTGCATGGAGCCTAATACAGGATGCTTCCATGACCCTGGAAATCACAAATCATACTGGAGCTTCTAATAAGACACTACAGAAAAAGAAATTTTTTTTCCCCTTTCCAACCTCTACATGAAATTGCATAAACTTGAATGGCTCAAAACAGACCATTCAGGTATGTGCATCACATTTTACTCTGCACAGCATAGAAGAACTTTAAAAAAAAAAAAAAAATAAAAAAAAAAAAAAAAAAATTTGCAAAATAAAAAAAAAAAAAGTCCCATCTGCTGGCTACAAAAAGCTTTAGAATAGCCAAAACGTCCTGAAATGCTTCTCATTCTTTAAATGCAATTTACCTGGCTGCCATTCTAACTCTCTGGCTTCAATTCTAAGTCACTAAACCAGAAAAAAGTATGTAAATAGAAAAGGACTTAAGTCTTTCTCTGCTCTCCTGATTTGCATACCTGTACCTGGGTAGTAAAGGTAGGCACAACAGTCAGGCAACACATGTTCATAATTTAAAAAACAAGTGTCATAGGTTTTTGAGGCGCTCTTAAGTGAGGGAGCATGCATTTTTTTGATGAAAAACATTCTTTCAGCCTACCACATGGCCCAAATGACTCCTATTGTTTTACTTTAATGCTGGGTAAAACATTAGGGTAAAAAAGATTCCATTAATGCAATACAAGCTACACAAAAGAGGTAGAAAACAACAAAAAAAACTTTCTACTCACTTATCATCTGCCTCTAAACATTTCACCAATATGGGCAGAATTCCGGATTTTATGAGGTCATCAATGGGTGGATTTCTGTCACTGGATAACAGCTTTCTGCAACAGAAAAATGTACAGAAAATTATCATTGTGCGACAATGCCTTAGAGACCATATTCTTGTGTGTGGCTTGTAAATATTTATGCTGCCCATTAGATAAAGAAGGTACTTTTCTTTTGTCTTGGTTATCTCCTTATCTCACCAATGCCAACCAATGTTTGATAAAACACTAAATAGGACTTCACTACAAGTAAATCAAATCATTACTTTTTAAAGACACATGCACCAAAAGATATACCTCTAGTGAATGTCACATAGTTGGAAATACTGTTGACTCTACCAACTTTCAGCCACAGCATTGTCATCCATGGTTTAACCACCACCAGACCAGCAATGTATCCGTATGTCGCTGGACTTTCGCTGGCTGCACTGGAGCGATGCCTGCAGCACAGTTTTTATTTTTTTTGTTTTTTTTTCTTTCTTTAAAGAGCCTGCAATCGGCTCTCTTATACAAACAGCAGCCCCTGCAACTCTCTCGGGATCTCCCATCTCACCAGAACCGGCTTTGATTGGCTCTCCTTTATTGTAAACCGGAAGCGATGACCTGACATTACTTTGTTTACTCGGAACCTTTCATCGCAATTTAAAGAAATATGAAAGCATTTAAAAACCCAGATTTTGGTGATCTGAAGGCTTTAAATTGCAGAGGAGGGATTTGGGGTCTTATAGACCCCCAAATCCCTTCATAAAAATGCCTGTCCCATGTCTTGCTGTCACAGCAAATGTAAAAAAAAAAATAATAAAAACTTGACAGTGTAAAGAAAATAAAATCAAAAAAAGGCAAACGTGCGTCGGTCCCGCATGCATGCAAACCGTGATCATCCCACATATGTGAGGTATCGCCGCGATAATTAGATCACGGGCAGTAAATCTAGCATTGTACCTTCTCTGTAACTCTAAAGTGGTAACCTGTGAAGACTTAAACGTGGCCAATGAATAGTAAAATTTACACCATTTGTCACCATTGCAGGGAATGCACAATATTGAAGCGTGACATGATTGACATCCATTTGGCGTATCATCTTTTATATTTTACAAAAATATTGGGTTATTTATTGTTTTTTTTCCCAATACATTTTTTTAATTAAAAAATTTTTTTCCCCAAAAATTGCGTTTGATAAACCGATGCATAAATATTGTGACGAAAAAAAAAAAACAAGAAAAGCAAAAACCAAAAATAATGTTTAGTGGTTCTAAGACATTTTCTAGCACAAAATACTGATTTTAAAATGTAAAGAAAAAGTGCCAGTAATGGCTTGGGGCTGAAGAGGTTAAATAATCTCCCAATTTCAAGTGACCAAATGACCTCAACTATAGTGAGAAAAAAAAAAAAAAAAAGGATCAAAAATGCCTTTCAGTTAACAATGAAGTAGTTTTGACTCATTTCTACAATGATATAAAATTATTGGCCTCTTACAACTGCAAGTAAATAAGGGCGAGAGACTGCTGTGGCTCAAAAGGTCCAACGCATCTTAGGCTGTCAAATTTGTGCTCCTGGATTGGTAGTATATAGAGAAAGGACCCTCACCTGTTTGTACAGGGCATGTCATTGCCAGCTTTAGCAGGAAAGCATTGCTCCTTCCTTGTCAAAAACTCAAACTCAGAGACACCTTCCTCATCTGCCACGTAAGGGAGCCACAAACAAACAGGTCAGTGTGTTTCACCTCCCTGCTGCATCCTTCACAGCAATATTGCAATGAGCTGGCCAGACACAACTCTGGTAATTTTTGGGTTAGGAGGCTGAATAATTTGCAAACAGATAAATACTAGGAATGAGCTCAGGCGTATTCGGATCCCAGTTCTAACCTAACTGAGCTATCCTGCCAGGAAGTCGTCAAAGGGCCAATGGTAAGCAGCTGAGGCATTCCCTTCCATGTTCAAATCCCTTGCATAGGTGCAGCTATGGTGTGGGGAATGCCTTGACCACTCACATTTGGCCATGTGGAGTGACAGCTTGTGGTGGGGGTGTGTAGGTAGTTTTCAAATTTGGCTGAACTCATCCCTAATCAAGTCAAGCGGCCAGCAACAGTTTCTACTGAAAATATGAAAATCAAAACTATTGACGATAGGTCTTTTGTGCACCTGAAAGCAGAGGCATCTAAATGATATCAGTTGACTGTCTGGAACCTGTAGGGAACACCCACAATAATTGCTAGTATCAAAAAAAGACCAGAATCTATGCTGCCTAGACTTAGTCACATGGGAACAGATTTTATTTACGGCAAGGGGTATTATAAAGTGATTCATAAAATTAACATGCGCTCCACCATGTGAATGTTAACAGGTTCACATAGTTTTAACAGCTGCATGACTGTTGAAGGCAAATTGCACCTTTTGCAAAACTGTAATCAAAGCACCCACAATTAAAATGTGCATTTATATAACACTTCTGCGAAGGAGCCTGCCAAGCACTGCAACCATGATAAACGAATTGTGGGTAAAGCGCAGGCTCCTGCAGAATCTTTCACCTAGCTATGGACCTCAGGTTCATAACTTCAGTTATGGGGCTACAGCCAATAAATGATGGACTACAAGTGTGGTGATGCACTGAACTTTTGAGATCAATCAGTTCCTCTGGTCTTTCCATTCACAGATCGATCAACCTGCACAGCAGCACCAAAATTTAAAAAAAATACAAGCCTTTGGTGAGAAGAACCCCGAGACTGAAGTGGGGTGGATGGGGGAGCAACGTTCGGGGGTAAGATGAAAGTCTTTAATCAATGAACAACATGCAGAGCAAAAATGTGGTCTGTATTACCTTGCCGCCTGTACAGCACTAAGCTGGGTTGCTGGATTATCACTGGTTGCATTCTATAAAATAAAATACAAACGTCATAGGTGTAGGAATATGTACAAAGAGGTTCCTTTAAAATCAATATGATCTATTGTGGTTATAGTGTTTCAAATGATCATTTATGGCACTGAAATTGTCCAAACTAGACTCTACCGCATGTTTTCATGGTAACATTGTTTTCCTCAGTCAGTGGATATGGATCCCATGTGGATCTATTTTGTACAAGAGATTTAACTTATTTGGCCTCTTTTGGTTTGTTAAAAAGACACCATTAAAAGCCTTCTTTTATATAGGTTTGATAAGTGCAAAGAAATACTGACTAATCTCACCAGAAACCTTGTCCGCTGATAACTGCCTTTTACATTGTTCCTAGTCATCTCCAAGGACTCCAGAACCCCACCCCTCTGTTATGAAGAAGAGGAGAGAGGCAGAGGTTTTTGTCCTGTCCCATTTTTCTGATACATTACAGTGAGTAAACATTATCACCCTAGAACAGGAAGTGTGCTACTGGGAGAATGGCAACGGAAAATAAAATAGGGGGGGCAGGAAGAAAAAGAAAACAAACTTTGGTTTAGGTGATCTTTAAACCACAATTTAATAAGCACCTCTGCTTCTCTTTTACAAATTGTTTCCTTGATTACGTAAAGCCTGAACTAAAACATGTAGGCTGTTACTGCTAACTTCTCCTGAGTGTGCTAGCTGCCTTGCTGTAATGCTGATAAATTAACTTCATAATGTATTAGTTGCTGGCCTGGTACAAGAATGCAAATCAGGAGTTTGACTTCACTTGTGGCATGCTTGTTATTGGGTCAGTGACTCAGTTGATTAAAGGAAATCTGCAATGACAGCCTTCATATTTCTTATACTACAGAAATAGTAAGGCATGATTTTGAAAGCAATTAATGAACACTGCTGGATAGTTTTGGACAATACAGCCATGGGAGTTTCATCAGGGATTGGGTTTTTTCCTTTGTTTGCTGGCTGCTAGATTACACCTACATTCAGGCAATTCATCAAGCAGGCCACCAGGAAAAGAACACCGCCACTGTCACTGGCCAGCCCTCTGCAGAGGCAGGTTTAATAGAACATAAGAGGAACAAATCACATTTATAAAAAACTGAGAATTTGTTTAATCCTTGCTTACAGTGTGTGTTATTATTGTAATGTATTGCAATACTGCTGCCTTGAATCAGTTGTCAAAGAACCGCAATCGCCCTTCGAAATATTGTCATGGCTTCCACTCAGCAAGTGTTCAGTGTTGAAGAGCTAATATTATTGCAATAGACATATGATTGCAGTTTGAACAGTTGAAAACTGCTGCTCTGTCATTAATGTTAAGATTATAGTGCGTCATGAACCACCAGAACACAAACTGCAAAAACCATACTATTCTGATAGCTGTAACTGAAACTAAGGTAGGCTACATGCAGCAGCTACATACATTTCTGGTACTTTAACCACTTCCCGTCTGGCCCATGTAGATAAACGGCCGGACAGGAACGCTGCCGAAGCGGGTTGACGTTTCTAAAAGGTCACTCGCGTTCACTGCCTGTGCGTGCGCCCTGGGAGTGCGCGGCACCGCGTGAGGTCCTGATTCTTGTGATCACCGATTGGCTAAATCGGTGATCACATGAAAAAGTAGTAAACAAGATGTCACTTTCTGACATCATTGATTACTACTTGTGAAATCTGTGAATGATCACAGAGGTCACATGGTACAAGGTTATTCACAACTGCCTTGTACCATGTGACAAGCTGTGACCAATCACAGCTCTCACAGTATTTCTCAATGGCTGCAAGAATGCAGCCAGAGAGAAGGAGAAATTATTGCTTTTACAGCCTTTATGGGTATAAAAGCAATCAGTGTAAAAAAAAAAAAAAAAAATCTTCATCACCCCCCACAAGTATACAGTGTCACTATGGTGACACTGTACTGCTAGGGTGACAGTATACTAAACAAAAAAAAAAAAGTAAAACAAATTTTGAAAAAAATACATTTTTGGTTATAAACTAATTTGGGTTATTTGTTTTTTCTAAAAAGATAGCTGAATACATTTTGGCCAAGATTTATGAAGAAAGATTTGCAAAACACTTATTTTCAAAATTTTTGAACTTTATTTATATAGCAAAAAAAAATCCCAGTGGTGAATAAATATCACCAAAATAAAGTTTTATATGTCTCAAAAAAAATTCTAAAAAAATTCATATGGGTCCAGTGTTGCATGACAGTGCAATTGTCATTCAAAGTGTGATAGCACTGAAAGCTGAAAATTGGCCTGGACTGGAAAGGGGTGAAAGTGTCTGGACTTTAAGTGGTTAAAGCTCTTGTTCCCCAATCATGGCACCTTTTCAATGCACTCAAGATCTAGTCCCCTAACTGCCTGACTGCAGACAGCCTGGACCTATACTACTTCACCTTTAACCCTACTCTAGTGATCTGCTGACATGGACCCAGCTGGCTTGTCTCCATTCTGCACATACGCACCAGGCCATCAAGGTCCACGTTTGTGGTAAGATCACTGGACCAAGGCTACATCATCAGATGGTGGGTAATGTATAGAAAAGGAGGGAGTACACATTAGAGATTTGACAGCTAGACTAGCAGCAAGGTCACCAGAAATTTACAGTAATGAACTAATCACTAGAGCGGGCTTATCCCCACACAAACAAAATGCTTTGACTTTCATTGGCTACCAGGCAGCAGAGAGTGTCTGCATCCCAGAAACCCATGCTGTAAATGAGCTTTACTTACAGAAGCATATCCCTGCATATTTCACTACATGTACTGTATGTGTTGTCAGCAGGTTAATCTGTATTATATGGCTTTAAGTATTTGTCAAAAAATAAAAATCAGATATAAAACAAATTGAACACACCTGTAGTATTGCTTCTAGTGTTACGTTTTGCTGCAAAGGAAGCATAAAAAGTTACATTCATTAAAAACACATTTAAGCCTTAAGTACTTCCCATCTATATAATTTATTTATTTCAGGTACTTATATAGCGAAGTCAATTTATGCAGCACTTTACACATATATATTGTAAATTCACCTCAGTCCCTAACCCTCAAGGGGCATACAATCAAAAGGTCCCTAAACTACATACATACACATACTAGGGCCAATTTAGACAGGAGCCAATTAACCTACCAGCATGTCTTTGGAGTGTGGGTGGAAACCGGACTACGAGGAGGAAACCCACGCAGACACAGGGAGAACATGCAAACTCCAGGCAGGTGGTGTCCTGGTTTGGATTTGAACCAACGACCCTAGTACTGCCAGGCGGAAGTGCTAATCATTTAGCCACTGTGCTGCCCAGATAGAGATATATATATATATATATATATATACCATATTTTCCGACGTATAAGACGACTTTTCAACCCCTGAAAATCTTCTGAAAAGTCGGGGGTCGTCTTATACGCCGGTGCGAGCCGATCATTGTGTGCACTTTTTCAAAGGGCGGCACTTTTTCAAGGGGGCGGCGCGGCGCCGCCCCCCCTCCTCCTCCAACTGACACTAAGTATAGGGGTGGGCAGAGGGGCTGCTGTACCTTACCTGGCTCCGGTCCCACGACTATCCGGTCCAGGAAGCGCGGCTGCTCCTTCTTTCAGTTCGGGCCGCTCGATGGTCACGCGGCCCGCTCGGCTCCGCCTCCTAACCGGTGATTGGGCGCCAGCACTGGAAAGGCACACAGGCGACCAATCACCGGCGAAGAGGCGGAGCCGAGCGGCCCCGCAAAAATCGAGCGGGCCGAACTGGAAGAAGGAGCAGCCGCTCCTCTCCCCCACTGACACCAACGATGGGGCACTATTCCTCCCTCACTGACACCAACGATGGGGCACTGTTCTCCCCACTGATACCAATGATGGGGCACTATTCCTCCCCCACTGACACCAACGATGGGGCACTATTCCCCACTGATACCAACGATGGGGCACTATTCCTCCCCACTGACACCAACGATGGGGCACTATTCCTCCCACTGACACCAACGATGGGGCACTATTCCTCCCCACTAACACCAACGAAGGGACACTATTCCTCCCACGGATACCAACGATGGGGCACTATTACTCCCACTGACACCAACGATGGGGCACTATTCCTCCTCCCCACTGACACCGATGATGGGGCACTATTCCTCCCCACTGATACCATGATGGGGCACTATTCCTCCCCCACTGACACCAACGATGGGGCACTATTCCTCCCTCACTGACACCAACGATGGGGCACTGTTCTCCCCACTGATACCAATGATGGGGCACTATTCCTCCCCCACTGACACCAACGATGGGGCACTATTCCTCCCACTGATACCAACGATGGGGCACTATTACTCCCACTGACACCAACGATGGGGCACTATTCCTCCCACTGATACCAACGATGGGGCACTATTACTCCCACTAACACCAACGAAGGGACACTATTCCTCCCACTGATACCAACGATGGGGCACTATTACTCCCACTGACACCAACGATGGGGCACTATTCCTCCTCCCCACTGACACCAATGATGGGGCACTATTCCCCCACTGATACCAATGATGGGGCACTATTCCTCCCCCACTGACAACGATGGGGCACTATTCCTCCCTCCACTGACACCACTGATGGGGCACCATTCCTCCTCCCCATGACACCAATGATGGGGCACTATTCCTCCCCACTGACACCAATGATGGGGCACTATTCCTCCCCACTGACACCAATGATGGGGCGCTATTCCTCCCACTGACACCAATGATGGGGCGCTATTCCTCCCACTGATACCAATGATGGGGCGCTATTCCTCCCACTGACACCAATGATGGGGTGCTATTCCTCCCACTGACACCAATGATGCTATTCCTCCCACTGACACCAATGATGGGGCACTATTCCTCCCACTGACACCAATGATGGGGCGCTATTCCTCCCACTGACCAATGATGGGCACTATTCCTCCCACTGACTAATGATGGGGCACTATTCCTCCCACTGACTAATGATGGGGCACTATTCCTCCCACTGACTAATGATGGGGCACTATCCTCCCTGACTAATGATGGGGCACTATTCCTCCCACTGACTAATGATGGGGCACTACACACTGACACTAATGATGGGGTGTCAGTGGGAGGAATAGTGTCCCATCATTGGTGTCAGTGGGAGGAATAGTGTCCCATCATTGGTGTCAGTGGGAGGAATAGTGTCCCATCATTGGTGTCAGTGGGAGGAGTGCCCCATCATAGTGTCAGTGGGAGGAATATGCCCCATCATTGGTGTCAGTGGGAGGAATAATGATCATGGTGTCAGTGGGAGGATTCCCATCATTGGTGTCAGTGGTGGGAATAGTGCCCCATCATTGGTGTCAGTGGGAGGAATAGTGCCCCCATTGGTGTCAGTTGTGCCCCATCATTGTGTCAGTGGGAGGAATAGTGCCCCATCATTGGTGTCAGTGGGAGGAATTGTGCCTCATCATTGGTGTCAGTGGGAGGAATAGCACCCCATCATTGGAATACCATACTGAAATAGCATACCATATTGAAATGAAATCTGATGTTTTTTCATTTTTATTTGTTGTGCGTTGGAAGAGGGGTAGTCTTATACGGCGAGTATAGCTCAAACCCTAAATTTTTAACAGGAAAAGTAGGGGGTCGTCTTATACGCCGGAAAATAATATATATATATATATATATATATATATATATATATATATATATATATATAAGGATATATATATATATAATATAGATATATATATATACACACACACATACACACACACCCTCGGGTGGGTAAGGTGATCTCTTGGTCATCACTATTGCATCGTTTAACTGAAACTGGCACAATCCTGTGTCCAGTTTCTGAAATCACACAGGGAGAGGAACATCAGAAGTGCCTCTCACTCTGTACAGCAACAGATTTAGCTGGTCACGTGTGAGACAGGAAAGCCCGGAAAAGGAAGTGGCACGGGAAGGGGTTGCAGCTATGACCCCGGTATAACCATCTCAACTCAAGGCTGTATATATACACATATGGTGGTATTAAGGTGGTAAAAAAAAACAAAAACTAAAACAAACACACCCAACTATAAACCCAGCTTTAGATCCGTCAGATAAGTCATATATGCCTAAAAATCAAATCATGTGATCAAGTATTAAAAAAAAAAAAAAAATAAAAAATTGGCAAAAAGGCTGACATACAGATTTGAAGTCTCCATCAACATCAGAGTCCTCTAAACTTTCTTCTTGTGGAACATTTCTCTTTTTCAAAAGGTGTTCATCTCTTTTGTTCTGGAAAGATAAACAGGAACTGGTTACTTGACAGTAAGGTCTATGGTGACATCAGGGCTTCAGCAATGCAACACCACAAATACAGCAATGGAAAAACATATCGCTTGGAGTTCAGACTTAATGGTTTTAAAATGCAATTTATTAGCGTTTTGAATGCAACTGTGCATTCAATACACTAAATTTATCTTTTGAAAAGCAACAAGTGTAAGCAGCTATATTATACCACAGAGCACAGAATGTAATAGGTTGAAGTAGCCAGTCATTTGATGTGCTGACAAGGAACACGCTAATAGGAAGAGACCACTGTGCTGCTTCTCCTTTACAGTCTAGCCACAGGCAAGGACCAGGTCCATGAAAACCTGGGCTCAAAGAAAATGCATCAGCCATCATTCACACCAGAAAACTAAGGAAATCTAGTTAGAGAGAAGAAAAAAAAAAAAAAAAGTACTGTAGGGGACAACTCAGTGTTGAAGCCATGTATTTCAACAAACGCTGGTTTTTATTTTAATGAGCTAATTGTTTTGTTTTTTTTCAATATCTGACTAGAGGTCTGCTTTAAAAGTCTACTTATTAGTGATGCACCGATATACCGGCCACAAACAGGGTTGTCAGTGTTTTGCCAATAGGAAAAAAAAAAAAAAAGGTGCCAATCATGCAGACTTTTTACCTTTCATATTCAGGGTGTAACATGTAATGAAAGGACCAGCCCCCACTCTGACAGCTAGTGGGAGACATTCTCCTCCTGCTGTAAAGAAGAAGAAGAAAAAAAAAAAAAAAAAAGCATTCTGTGAATGAGGAAACGACAAGTTTCAACAGCCTTAGCAGCTGTTGGCCTGTAGTTCTTAGTGAACTACCACAGCACTATGGTAGTTCACCGATTCTTCCTGTATGTGTATTGACTTGCTCGTGCGGGAAAGCAAATATACTGACAGGTCTACAGAAGTCCTGAATGTCACCAGCAATCTGCTAATCAGTGGTGCAATGCTTTCCAGGCTCCTGCAACAAAACGTAATACAAAAAAAAAAAAGTGAATGTATCCTTTAATTTATTGTGCAGCACAGTGGGTATTGAAAAGAATGCCCCCCTTTAAAATAATCACATTTTGTTGCTTTGTAGCCTGAAATGAAGACAGACAGTTTGTTTTATCCAACTGTATTTACTCAGTGCAACTTATAACACTCAAGTGAAAGATAAAACACCAACATGTCAGAAAAAAATATTAAACATTTCAAAAAACAGAGTTGAAAAAAGGATCACCCAACTCCTAAAGATGACTTTAAACTCAATCAGGAGTAACCAATTACCTTCTCAATGGCACACAAAGCCATTTGACTTTCAACTGATTAGCTGTAGTCATTTTGATAAGCTCAGATTAAGCTTTCCTGGAGCATTTCAGTCCCTGATAGTGAAACTGAAGCAAACAATCAACTAAAAATCAATGTCAAAAGATCTCCAGGATAAAGTTCTGGACAGGCGATGGATACAAAAAAAAAAAAAAAAAAAAAAAAAAACAACAGTGAAATCTATTAAGAAGTAGAAGGTATTTGGTACAACACAGACCCTCCCTGGATCAGGAAGTCGCTCCAAACTGGATGAAAGAGCCAGGAGGAAACTGGTCAAAGAGGCTACCAAGAGGCTTACAGCAACTCTGAAGCAGTTGCAAGAATTTATGACAGTGGTCATTGTGTGCATGTGACAACAATATCACAAATTCTACACAAATGTGGCTTATATAAGAAGGATGCAAGAAAAAAAGCCACTTCTCAAGAAAGGCCACATACAGTCCCGACTGAGCTTTGCCAAAACACACCTTGAATATTCTGAGGCCACATGGAAAAAGGTGTTCTGGTCAGATGAATCTAAAATTGAATGATTTGGAATCAACACTAAACAATATGTCTGGAGGAAACCCAAAACACCTCACCATCCAAATAACACCATTCCTACAGTAAAGCATGGAAGTGGTAATATCCTGTTATGGGGGGTGTTTCTCTGCAGCAGGGACTAGAGCACTAGTCAGAACCTAGACCTAAACCCAATTAAAAATCTGTGGAATGACTTGAAGACTACAGTCCAAAAATGGTCACCATGAAAATTTAACTGAACTTGAGCAGTTCTACAAAGAGACAGCAAATACTGCAAATTCTAGATGTGCCAAGTTAGTAAAGACATATCCCAACAGACTAAAGGCTGTAATTAAAGCAAAAGGTGGTTCAACAAAATACTGACACATGGGCGTGATCCTTTTTCCAACTCAGTGATTCTGTTTTAGAAGGTTATTCTTTTTTTTAATTTTCTGATATGTTGGTGTTCTAGCTTTCAACTGGATGTTATAAGTTGGATAAAATTCATTGCAGGCTGCAAAGCAACAAAATTATTTTAAAAAGGGGGTGAGCTAAAGAATATATATAGACACACACACACACACACACACATATATATATATATATATACACACACACACACACACACATATACACACACATACATACACACCTTTTTGAAAACAAAGATTTTAATCAATATCTCAATGAAGACTAGAACAATTTACAAAATTGACAAAACTGAGTTTTATAGAACATTTGTTTAGCTCATTACATGAAATTAAGGTTAACATAGCTTAACATACAAAATATTCAGTTTTACTCTAATTGATGCAAAAATGAATACACCCCATCACAAAAACTACTCCATCTAGTATTTTGTATGACCTCCAAGATTTGTAAGGAGAGCACCAAGTCTTCCAGGCATGGAATGAACAAGTTGGTGACATATTGCAACATTGATCTGTTTACATTCTTCAAGAACGACCTCTTTTGGAGCCTGGATGCGGGATGGAGAGTGATGCTAAACTTGTCTCTTTAGAATTACCCATAGGAGTTCGATTGGGTTCAGATCAGGAGACATACTTTGCCACTGAAATCACTTTCACCCTGTTCAAAAATGCTACTGTGGCCTTAGATGTGTGTTTTGGATCATATGTCATGTTGGAAAAGTGCACGACGACCAAGATCTTCTCTTTCAATATAGAGCAGTTCTTGGTCTCATCACTCCAGAGTACAGAGTCCCAGTAGTCTTCTTTTCAGCATGGGCCCTGGCAAATTCTAGGCGGGCTTTTTTGTACTTGGGCTTTAGGGAGAGGCTTCCTTTGTTGACTACACCCATGCATGCCATTGCTCTGCAGTCTGCGCCATACTGTGTCACAAGAAACAATCACCACAGTTTGGCTTTCTACTTCTTTAGCCAACTGCAGTGAACTTGCCTGATGATTTTCTACACCCCTCTACAGAAGACGCTCCTGTCGAGGTGTTAACTTCCGTGGACGGCCTGGACATCTCTGTGAGACGGTTGCAGTTACATCTTTGTTACATTTTTTGCATCACTTTTGCTACAGTATTTTAACTGGTAAGTAAAGCTATGTGGATCATCTTGCAGCCTTCACCTTTTTTGTGTAAAGAAATTTTCTCTCGGACCTTGTGTCATTTCTCTTTCATGTGGTGCCATGAAATGGGAAGGGGTTTTGTTAGGCTGGCCATACATTATACAACTTTCTGTACAATTTCCTTTAAATTTACCTTCAATTATGTATTGCAAGGGCCCGCCTAATTGAATAAAATTGAAAGTGTTGTTTAGGTTTGACCTCATATGCTTTTTTGCTAAATCTAAAAGGAAATTGCACAGAAAATTGTATAATGTATGGCCAGCCTTAGTAACACCCTTTTATAATCAACTGTGTTAGACACCTGTTTAATGAATAATTAGACTCACCTGTAGTTGAATTCTTGTTAATTAGGATTTTGTCTTAAATTTATATTTGCTCCTAAGATTTTCATTGTAATGTATTCATTTTTGCAACATGGTCTTGGATGAATTTGTTGTTGGGAAAAATACTTTTTGTGCGTACAAATTTTGTTTGCAATCAATGGCCCACATTTTATAGCATAGTGTCCCATAGAAAAATGTTGATTCTGAAAGGAAAAGGCTGACAAATTTGTTGGGGTGTACTCCTTTATGCTGCTGATATATATATATATTATATATAATATATATATATATCATATATATATATATATATATATATATATATATATTATACACACACACTCACTGGCCACTATTAGGTACACCTTGCTAGTAACCCATTTTGCCTTGCCTTCAGAACTGCACTAATTCTTTTTGGCATGGATTCAACAAGGTGTTGGAAACATTCCTCAGAGATTTTGGCCCATGTTGACATGATAGCATCATGCAGTTGCTGCAAATTTGTCGGCTGCACATTCTTGATGCAGATCTCCCATTCCACCACATCCCAAAGGTGCTCTATTGGATTGAGATTTGGTGACTGTGGAGGCCATTGGAGTACACAATTTATTGTCATGCTCAAGAAATCAGTTTGAGATGATTTGCTCTTTGTGACATGGTGCATTATCCTGCTGGAAGTAGACATCAGATGATGGGGACACTCAGGGGGCGTATTTACCACAAGGCAAACAAGGCGTGTGCATGGGATCCTGTAGGTTGGAAGTGGCCCGCCAGGCCCATCTTTGTGGGCACTCCCTGGGAATGTGTTGGAGATGGGAGCATGTGCTGTATGATTCTTGACAGACCAGCTGATTGTCAGTTTCAGTCCAGAATTTTCATTTCGGTGCACCACTAACATTTATAGCTGGAATCCATACCACTGATTTCAGTTTTGTATGTATGTATCGAAGGACGACTTTACACTGCCTCTTGCTAAAGCGCAGCTAGCCTGCAGTTTTTATGCGGGTTAACTGCACCTTTCCTATAGACTTCAATGAAGTCCTGCGATTTCAGAAAGTGTACCAAAACTCCTACATGCTGCATCTTTGGTGCACTTTCTGAAACCACAGATAAACCGCGGGACCTCATAGAAGTCTAGGGGAAAGCACAGCTAACCTGCACAAAACCCAAGGGCACTGGGCAGTGTGAAACCACCTTAAATCACATCGGTTCTGATCTCAGTCTCTTGTAATCGCCAGCACAGCAGCACTCAATAAGGTAGAGGGAAATGCAATAGCCTGAGCCAATCAACGCTCTGTTGCTAAAAGGCAAAACTACTTACAGGAGGTAAGAGAACAGGGGTGGCCTCTTTAATATGCTGATGCCCTTACATTTTACAATTACAGCCTCAGTAGGCCTTTGACCAGGTTGTATTGTGCTTCAAGTGAAACTCCATCAGAAATTAGATTTATATAGCATGGTGAAGGGTTAGAACCTCTGAAGTATGTATTGCTGACTATGTCCCTATAAGAGGCAGTCAAGGATCGTTTAAGCAAGGAAAAGCTAGAACGGCTATCGGATTTTTTCTGTCATCTGCATGAAAATTTTGGAGATATTTTCCTTGCTTCTTTTTTCTGTGACAGCGGTCCTAACAGAATCCAAAAAGAAAAACACAAAAACCTGACATAGGAGTTTAATCCTTCTAAACTTAATATAGTTTTTTAAAGCCAATTCCCATGGAAGCCACTGCTACAGTGATTGTTAGTTTTTGGATCCTGTGCCACACAGGGGGTTTCTTGCTAAGCACAATTCAGAGTACTTTCCATTTTTCACAATCGGTGCAAAAATGATCTCTGGATTGGATGAGGTGGAGAGGCGGGGGGGGGGGGGGGGTGACATTGCATTCTCCATTTCACCCAATCACAGGACGCTTTGTATTCATTTATAAAAATGCAAGTGTTCTCTGAATGGCGCCCAGTGTCGTCGATGGAGCCCTACTTCTTTTAACTGCAACAAGTGACTGCTTATAAATTGTTATTTCGACTAGGAAGACCAAATGTCACAAATTCAGGCTCCTGCTTCTGTCAGTCATTGTTACCAGTTTCGCTATATATATATATTATTTTAAATTTAAAAATTCTGGGAGCTTTTTCACTGTAGCATATGTTCTTGCGACTTACCTTTCGTAGCTCTATGGTCACTTCATTTCTGTGTCTTCGCATAGTCTAAAGAAAAAAAAGATTAAAGATGAAGTCACTGAAAGTAATATTTTACACAAACTGAATGTAGTAATCTGCATTGACATTATATGTTCAAGGCAGTCAACCCAAGACAGATAGATATTTTAGTTTTGGCACGCTAGCAGGTAGATTCACCAACCGGTTTCTTTTTTCTTCTCAGACAAAGAAAAAAAAAACACAAACTCAGCTTCCAGTTCCCAGTTCAACCCTTGTGATAAACTCATTACACAGGGATCGCCCTTTTATCCAACTCACTCTCTATTTTATATTAATTATTATTATACAGGATTTATATAGTGCCAACAGTTTGCTCAGCGCTTTACAATATAACGGGAGACAATACAGCAACAATACAGTTCAATACAAGAGGGATAGGAGGGCCCTGCTCCTTGGAGCTTACAATCTAGGAGGGAGATATAATCTGGAATTGATGAGGGTGAGAGACTTAAAGCCGTATTAAACCCAAAAACGTAATATATTGTAGCTCATCAAACCTTAGATGTGGTAGCTGCATTAGTTCTTTTATCCCATTGCTTTCACTTGGTGATCTGGAGAGCAACACAACTCTTGTAAAGTGCTGAGTGCAGCCTGCCCAAAAAAACTCATTAGAAGCCGACCCCCCCCCCCTCCTTCTTTCGCAGAATGGATTGGATGTATGAAGTGCGCACCCCGGCTCGTTCAATGTGCTCCCTCTGTAGCAGGGAAAACACTAACCATGTACGATGTTTAAATGAGCCACAGCGCCTCTAGCATGCGGTCCGTTTTAACTGCAGACGGTTGTCAACTACCTAACAGTTTTTTTCAGAAGGGCCGCATACAGCCTACATGTATGGAGGGGGACAGAAGCAATTATTTGAACAGCCAGAGCATGGTAATGTGTTGGATGCAAGAATGCATGGGGATTTTCCATAAAATGGCCATTAAAGGTGAACTAACCCTTCTGGTTTGCCATACAGATAGTATAGACTTTCCGTTTCACCTGTAGGCGGCACAAAGTAAATCTAACAGTCCTCCATCCACTCTAAACAGGCTACAGTAATTGATCAGCCTGCAATTTTCTGCCCAGCTCCTTTGATCTTCTGATCGAAGTTTGTTGAGCCGGGTGGTGCTAGCTGAGCCATTTGCAGAGTGAATTGCATCCTCTTCTGCAGAAAATAGACAAAATTTGATCAGTATACAGCACAGTGGCTAAGTGGTTAGCACTTCTGCCTAGCAGCACTATGGCCGTCTGTTCAAATCCCAGCCACGGCACCACCTAACTGGAGTTTGCATGTTCTCCCTGTGCGGATTTCCTCTTGGTACTCCAGTTTCCTTCCACACTCCAAAGACATGCCGGTAGGTTAATTGGCTCCTGTCTAAAATGGCCCTAGTATGTATATGCGTGAATGCGAGTTAGGGACTTTAGATTGTATGCTCAAGGTTTAGGGACCTAAGTGAATGTACAATATATGGAGGCGCTGTGTAAATTGAAGACACTATATAAGTACCTGTAATAAATGTACTAGTACCTAATCAGAACTGTATCCAAGTAAACAGCTAGATCAACAGAGCAGGCCAGCATCTTTATTTTTAATGAAGAATATTCAAAGATGACATGCATAAAAAGGAAAAGAAAAAAAAAAAAACTTCTTTTACTCTACTTTTCACAACACCCCAAATCCCAACACTTGGGAAAAGAGCAGGATGTTTCAGTACAATTTTGCACAGTTCCTCCAACTTTTGGTCATGGGGTGTGTCACATCTTGGCTCTGAAACACACACTAAATGGCAGGTAAGGTACAAGCTGTGCTATTCTAGGCAGGAAACCATGTTCATATGATTTGGAAGCAAAAGAAAACCGTTGGAAGAAAAGGTAAACCAATAACAAAGGATAACTTTGCAGTGTAGTTTTTTTCTGCAAATATACATTAAAATCTACTCATAGGCCAAGTAACACTAAAGTCCCGTTCACATCTCATGATCTTTGCGATTCTGCCCACGATCCCAAATTGTGTGGGAATCGCAGCACATTGGATGCCATTATCCTTCAATGGCATACCAAACGCAATGTGATTCTACTGCAGCAAACTGCACTTTTATGAATCGTGTCAGGCTTTTTACCCAAAAAGGAACAGCAGCTTCTTTTTGGGCGACAAACACACATAGGGCAGTCCATTCACTTGAATGGGCTGCCCAATGCAACATACAGAATTGAGTGAAAATTGCCTGAACGGGGCCTAAGGGATCTATTTATAATAGAAAAAATATAGGAAATTTCGCTCAAGTTGTACAAATACTTATGAAATTCATGAAACAATTCTAAGAAATGAATGCCTGAATCATCAGCTCCATTTAGTGGCCAAAGTGCAGTATAGTTTTCTGAAATGCCTTACTGAGAAGACGAAATCACACTAAGGTCACTAAGTGTAGGGGACTATACAGGAAATGTCTTTCAACTTGCACAAATGCTTTTGACATTCAGGCATAAATATTTTTCAAACAGAACCCATAGTGTGGGCTTGTAAAAAGTTCTAACCCTTGTGATTTCATCCTCATACGGTCTTAACCTAGTAAGTCACTGGCCTTGTCCAAGTATACAACCAGTGAAGTCTTACTGTAAACCTAAACTCAAATAGTGAAGGTGTGTTATCTAATAGGAATTATCTAGAGATGTTAAACCCATGTTTTGTTCTTGTAAAAGACGTGGTCCAAACTAAGATTAAATAGCAGATGGTTCTGCTTCAAACTAGTTTTATGATCTAGTGGCCTGGTTTCCATGCTGCTAGCCACCTTGCTCTTCTACAAGACAGCCACCTTCACAGAGAAGAACAAAGCACGGTAAATCACTAACTGAAAAGGATAAGCTCAGGGTAGACCGCAGACAATACTAGTGACTAGTGCTTTGTTCTCTACAGGTCTTCACCATTTCGGGTTTTGCATCACCATTCCTACATGCTTGTTCCAGGAGAGCAACTCAAAGTCAAGTCAGAATCCGGATAATAGAACCAGAGCCTGGAGTCTATGAAAACAAATTGACAATGGCAGTTCCCATATTTCAATCCTCACAGGCTGCCCTCAAACTATTCCTGTGTCTTTAAGGGGTTAGCTCATTCTACACCATGGATGTCCTTTAAGGAACAGATGACATTTAAATGAACAAAAATAGCTTTTGCTCACAGAATGATCACAGCACTTTATGCTGACTATGCCAGGTCATAATGTATTTCTGAAGAAAGACTATGGCTTTTATTATCTTCAAATATAACATGGTGTTATGACAAGAGATTAAAAAAAAATAAAAATTAGCACCTGATTAGCAGATGTGTTTAATAAACACAGTGGGGGTTGTCCTGTGGGCTGATTGCAGGCCTCAAAGACTTTTCTTATGGCATGCGGCCTGACAGCCTCTGCTGCATGGAATGTTTCTGAATAGGATCAGTATGGAAGGAACACACTGATCTCTCTGGCACTACAGGAATTCCAAGTGCAGTCTGCTTCAGATGCATTTCCTGTTTTTGCAAAGCTTCAAACTGCACTATATTTTCAATGCATAATACACTAACAAATATTTTTGCAAAACTAATGATCACTGGCAATTTGGTTCTACATGTTAATGTGACCCTAGCAATATTCTATAGAAGTGAATGACAAGACCGACAATATACTAAAGGAATGTCTGACAGCACAGGCTAAAGCCCAGATAAAACTTCTGTGAGAATACCTTAACCCTTGGCACCAGCGCCTCCCGGCCCTTTAAGGGTTCCAGAAGCCGGGAGGCAGGCGGGGTTTTAGGGTCATGTGACCGTGATTCACGGTCACATAAGGAAAGGTCCCAATCGAAAGAGGAAATCGGGACCTTTCAGTGAGTACCGAACGTGTGTGCTGGGAGTGCGCAGGGCGCACGCTCTCAGCACATATGGGATTTTTTTCCTAATAGAACGCAAATGTGCGGCTGCTTGGCGTCTAGGCCCAGATGAGTTGAAGGTGTAGAACCTGGGCAGGACTACTGCCTGTAATACTTTCCTGTCGAATACCTGGTCCTGGGATGACAACTCTGCCCGGCAGTGTCTCACAAATTTCTTGGCTTGACCATGTGGCTGTTCGACAGATCTTTCCACCCCAAAAGGTAGCTAGCACTCTAGTAGAGTGAGCCTTCAGGTGGTACTGAGACACCTGATTGCTCATAAGCTAAGAGATGGCTTGTCTGATCCATCTATTGTTGGCTTAGATGCCTGCTGTCCCTTCCTTGGACCGTCAAACATAATTAGAAGGTGACTTGACTTCCTGAAGTCACTTACTCTATTTAAATATGTCAGTAAACAACAAGTAACTCTTTTCCCCTTCATTCTTAGGAGATTGTCATACCATCTTTTTGTCAAAACCCTGTGTCCTGTGAAACCTTGAGGCAACCTTAGGTAAATACAGAGGGTCCTGTCTAAGCAAAACCCTGTCTTCTAACACCATCAGGAAGGGTTCCTTGATTGACTAGCTCTGTAGGTCACCTACGCTTCTTACCTAACTTAAAAGATACATTTCTAACTGAAATCTGTGCTACTGGCTCAAACGGTGGCTTGGTCAAAGCCTCTAATACCAAGGTCAGATACCAAGCCGGAAAATCAGGTAATTTTGCCTGTGGTCACTCTGTCCCTGGCACTCAACCAGGGGCTCCGATGCGAGTCTTTGATCCAGAAAGACCGAAAGGCCGCCACATGCACCTTTAGGGTACTTTGTGCTATACCTTTATTCACCCCTGCTTGGACAAAGTCTAGGATCACCGGGACCCATGGGAAGGAGAACCCCTTGTTCCTGACACCCTCCACACCTTGGCGTATATTTTTCTGGCGACTTGTTTTCTACCGAGAAGAGTGTATTACTCTCTCCAAACACCCCCTTTTTCTAAGGATCTCCCTTTCAAGAGCCAAGCCGTTAGCCAAAAAAACTCTGGATTGGAGTGTAGCATTCACCCTGTAGAAGATCGCCCGATTGGGAGACGCTGTGGGGGAGCCAT